TCTGTTTTTTGTTTCAAAACGAGAAACCAAATAACCGTTTTTGGTGTCAAAATCAAAAAACGAAAAACCAATTAAAAACGGTCCGTTTTTCGTTTTTGGCGATCATTTTTATCGTTATTCCTTTTTGAACAAACAATGAAGAGAGTCTTTGAACTTCCGTCTAGTCGTTTTTCGTTTATAAACAAAAAAACGGAAGTCACGTGGTCTATTCCTTATTTGGAAGCGAAAGTAACCGGTAACACTTTCAAAATAAAAGTAACTATAGTTAGCGAGGTGATTGTAGACTAAAACTGAACTAATATAACATTTTTTAGTACAACTAAAGTAGCACTGGTTGTGAAAAAAAACACTTTAGTTAACTGAAATAAAAATTAAAACTAATAAAATAATAACTCTTAATAAAATTAAACATTTGTAAGACCATTGGTGACCTCTGTAACTTCAGATTAAGACAAGTGAACTTATTTTATATGTAGCTTAGGATAGCAGGTAGCCTATTTATTTATAAGTTTCTATTATTTAATTCACATTTTAGTTTTGTAACATATTTATGACATCAAGCAACAAAGGTTTGACCTTTTGACCTTTTCACCTGCCTTCCAGCTCCTATTTCTATGGCACTATATCTGCTAAACACTCTCAGCTTCCACCATCTACTGTTACCCCTTCTGTGTCAAAACAAAACTCTTCCAAAACAAATCTATAAAGTTGTATACTTTTTATTTTCCTTTGCATTTTTCTCCAGTGTAATATACTTATTATGTTAGTTAAGTAGATTAAATATTTGTTATGCAGCTTGTAGTTCTCATTAGTTATGTAGACCTACTTGTGTGTGAAACCTAGCATTACTCAGTCAAAAATGATCTCTAGCTCTGGGACTTTCAGATCTTTTAATGCTTTTTTGGGTTTAATTCTGTTTGATGAACCACCAGGGAAAGGCAGTGCTCTGTACTCTTGGTACTTGTGTAAAGTAAAATAAAAGTGAAGTTAAATCATTTAGTTTTTCTCCCTGGTACTCATGTCAGGGCCTCCCAGATTTCCCCAATACCTGGAGGATGTGAGCCTGTGCACTGTGTGCAGGGTTTAAGGACTGATGATAGTAGCAAGACTGGCCCCAGTCACCTACCATCACTCTCTCTTCAAATAAATGCTGGACTGGCAGGACAAAGCAGTACACCACTCCTTCCTCCGGCACCATAAAAGGGCCTTGTTGTCACTTTCAGATATTTACATCATGTTTTATGGTAAGCCACATCTTTGAATTGTGGCACTACTTTTGTGGAATTGGATATTGAAATAAGTGTATACTAAGACTAATTGTGACTTTGGTGCTACAAGTGCGGCAGCAGTGTCACTAGTAATGCTTCTGTTGGAAATAGTGGGACAAAAGTGCCACTAAATGGAGTGTAATGGAAACTGTTAAAAAGAGTGACCAGGCCACAAATTAGTGGTTGATTTTCCTTTATCACCAGCCCAACAAACAATACTACTATTATGTTTATGGTTAAAATTGAACATTCACCCAAACAAATTTAATTTTTTTTTAGTTGTCACAGGTAGAACTATTCTTTATGCTTTTCATTAAGTTATTTATTTGAATGTATTGTTGTTATTCTTGTTCTCATGGCTGTGCTGTGTTTATTTAATTTGCTTGACTGTTTCTTCTTTTGATTCTCCCTCAGTTGTTTTCTTATGTTAGCTGTTTATTGCTGTTATTTGGCTGGTTGTCTGGTTTCACACACAAGTAGGTCTATATAACTAATGAGAAATACAAGCTGCATAAAAAATATTTAATCTACTTAACTAACATAATAAGTAGGCTATATTACACTGGAGAAAAATGCAAAGGAAAATAAAAAGTATACAACTTTATAGATTTGTTTTGGAAGAGTTTTGTTTTGACACAGAAGGGGTAACAGTAGATGGTGGAAGCTGAGAGTGTTTAGCAGATATAGTGCCATAGAAAGAGGAGCTGGGAGGCAGGTGAAGTTCTGCACACCCTTCAAACTCAGTGATTAGCTTCTGTTGGTAGCGGTGCTTGCCTTCTCTTTGATATAAACACAAGTCAAAAGGTCAAACCCTTGTTGCCTGTTGTCCCACAGAAAGAGTCGGTGCACAGAAGGGGTTAGAAAGACCTCTGCTGGTTGAGCTTCCACATAGCAATAAGGGCTATAAATATGTTACAAAACTAAAATGTGAATTAAATAATAGAAACTTATAAATAAATAGGCTACCTGCTATCCTAAGCTACATATAAAATGAGTTCACTAGTCTTAATCTGAAGTTACAGGTTACCAATGGTCTTACAAATGTTTAATTCTCCCTAACAGCCAGAGTTATTATTTTATTATTTTAAATTTTTATTTCAGTTAACTAAAGTGTTTTTTTCACACCCAGTGCTACTTTAGTTGTACTAAAAAACGTTATATTAGTTCAGTTTTAGTCTACAATCACATCGCTAACTATAGTTAGCCAACTTTTATTTTGAAAGTGTTTCCGGTTACTTTCGCTTCCAAAAAAGGAATAGACCACGTGACTTCCGTTTTTGGTTTATAAACGAAAAACGAATAGACTGAAGTTTAAAGACTCTCTTCATTCTTTGTTCAAAAAGGAATAACGATAAAATGATCACCAAAAAACGAAAAACGGGCCGTTTTTAATTGGTTTTTCGTTTTTTGATTCTGACACCAAAAACGGTTATTTGGTTTTTCGTTTTGAAACAAAAAACAGAAAAACGGTATTTTCGTTTTATAATTACAAACGAATTACGGATTATCCAGAGATCCCCTGACCGGGAGGCCTAAGGAGTAAAATGCATGTACTCAAGTTGCAAGAAAAAATTTGGGATTAAACGGGTTAAGGAGGGTTGAAAGGAAGTTAAGCAGGACACATGCATAAAGTTGCCTAGTCAACACTCAGGGGAATTGTTTGCTGTAATCAAAACAAAAAATGTATAGCCTACTTTTATTTCTTGTGAGCTTTTTTTTTTTTGCACAATACAATAAACCCCATATATAATTATATCATGCTGGAGTTTTCCTTTCTTGCTAAATAATTGTGTCTTTTACCTTAACAAGGTTTAGTGTATTCTTCTTCCCAATATAACATACTCCTAATATTTTGATTGTTTAATAGAACCTGAAGTGTCATTAAAAGCAAGTATTTTGCAAATATCCCCCTCAGCAAGGGCGTAGGTTTAGGGGGGGACGCTAGGTACTAGTCCCAATCAATATTTTGAGATGACAAATTTGTCCCCACCAATATTTAGCAAGCTCCTTTGAACTGCTATTTTGATATTTGCGCTGCTATTTGGATCGATTCCAACGGCCAGGACGACGACAGTACAAGATACGCCGTAATTTGATTGGCGGCGGGGTATCTGACAGGCAGGCTACACGCGCGGGCCGGGACTACTTTTTGTGCTTGCACTCACTGGCAGCGAGCGGGTGGTGTGTGCGTGTGTGTGTTTGTGTGTGTGTGCGCGCGTGACGACGCCGACGGTAAGTTACCTGGGCTGTCTGTCTCTCTGCATGCCAAATACAAAGGCCAGGGTAAAACATTTTAATATTCCGTTTTTTGCCCCTTTTTGTACTTTGTAGATCAGCTATGTCACCCAAGAAGAAGAAAGGGGACATACGAAGCTTTTTCATAAAGCAGAGTGTAAGTAGGCAAAATATAGCCACACAAATAACTAGCAGTAGTAGTGAGTGACTGACCATGCTTTCAAATGCAGATTCTACTGTGGAAAATAGTTTTAACTGTTGATCCTGGTTACCCAGGATATTGTTACAGTTAAACCTAGCTTCTGCAATCTTTCAAGGTTAGGAGCATTAATTAGGGGTGTGCAGCACGGATAGACTCATAGAAGTCGCGCTATCATGATAGACGTTAGCAAGTCACTGAATGTTAATTAGCCTACCTTAACTTAGAATCTTGCAGTCATAAACAGTGGATCATCTCAGACATTTTTCGTTTCTACATTCTGTTTATGTAATGTATTTGTGAGTGTAGCCTACTTGCTAGACACATGTCTGGAAAAACATGTTGGCAATGTTAAAAAGGCAAAAGTAAACACTGTTGGTTATTCAAATATAATGAATCATTATTTGTTTGATAATATCCAAATAACAATATCTGGTAGGAGGGTTAAACTTGCTTTTTTTTAAGGATAGAATATATCAATAGAATTTGATATAGAATAGAAGATACATAATAATTTATGTTAAATAAAATGTTTGGTTGTTCAGCATTACAGTCTCATGTTTTTATTTTTTGAGAGTGCATTTTTGAGATTATACAGTTATACTAGCTCTTTATTGACAGTATACAGGATGGTGTATCGGGGGTCAGGATACAATATGATGAGATGAGATGAGATGAGATGAGATGGGGGGGGGGGGGGGGGTCAGATGGGATGTCCCCACCAAAGCTGAGACCAAACCTACGCCCATGCCCCTCAGACATTACTTTTGGCCCCTATTCTCTATGCTGTTACCTTACCTAAATAACCTTTAACCTGGTTTTACTATTTTCAACAACACTGTAACGTTGATGTTTGACAAATGTACATTCATATCAAATAGAAGGTATGCATGAAGAATCTACTCAATCTTATCAGCCTACAACTATGGCAGTTGTACACAAAAGTTACAAAAAGTACCAGTTAGATTTTTCAGTTAGATACAGCTACAGTAAAAAAAAAAAAAGAAAGGTTACTATGATTTTTTTTTTGTAGTAAACTTTAATGAGGCACTTGCTTGAAGATTAACTTGAGCTATACAAGAATGGCCCAAAACAGCAAGAGCACAGACTCATGTGCATCTGAAGGGTGCAAAGTGCTAAATCCTAAATGTACTTCCTAAATTACATGCAATTGTTTCCTTCTAAAAATATAACCCTCTGAATATTTTAAGAAAATATAAATATATTATCTGTAAGTAAGGCTGTAACAAAGGTAGAACATTTCACTAATGTGAATTAAAGTGCATCTTGTAAAGTGCATCTTTCTGTAAACATTACACAGTATAATATCAATCTCATTATCAATACAAAATTATCATATGTGCTACAAGAACATACACAAAAAAGGGTAATTCATAACAAAAAATATTTCCTTATTTTTTCTCATCCTGCCCTTTCTTAGGTGGCTTTTCTTTCTCCTTAGTTCCGTCACTTCCTGACTCATCCTTCACCATTGCTTTTGCAGTTTGCTTGCCTGCGCTCTTCAGTACACCCTTGATGCCCAGATTGTCCACATTAAATGCTGTGACACCTACATTGACAGCAGACTGTACTGCAGTGTTTGCAGCTTGTCCTGCCTCGTCTCCATACCTGATCAAAACATGGAGGTATTCTGAGCTATAAGACCTGACAGGAGTGATTCAGTTAAGTTTAAACATTGTCTGACTATTGATTCTAAAAAAAAAAAGTGAAACATTTGAAAATGAACAGAACACAGTAAGCAGACAAAATGTTGCATTCACCTCAGTTTTAATTCAGAAAGCACACTGACAGACCGTTAATAAGAACAAGAGCCTTCTCAGCAACTTCTGAATCGTCAATAACTCAGGAAAATAAGGCACTTTGGGTATGTTAGAACTTGGCATTAGTCAAAGAAAACGCAGTGTGTTTTTACCCGCCACCATTTATATTCTGCTAGGGGGGTCCAAGAGGTTTCCTAGACCCCTAAATCTGAAAAAGCAACAGGAAATAGTAAATTAAACCATTTCCCAAAGCAATGAAGTTTAAATAGGTATAGCAAAAAACAAGAGTAGCAGGCTTTTGGCTGGGGGAAAGAATAATAGGAAAGCAGAAGAGAAACCCTGAATCCTGAAGAGCAATAAATAAAAAACACCTACTTATGCCTCACAGTAGTCACCGTCTCTGAAGTTATACTTTTGCCAATAGTTTTTGCTGCTGTCTCCAGACTTGACCAGAGAGTTGATAAACCTGCAGTTTATAACACAATTAGCTTTTTTAACACGAGTTCAAATGAAAATCTACAAATTTGATATACTAAGTCAAGCTACTATTTAGCAGGACAAAAGTAAAATGGCAAAAGCCTTTCAGGACATTTGAACGATTTATTCGGTTACCTTGTATGCTGCTTCCAGCCACCAGCTTGGCTCCATCCATTTTGGAGCAGCCGTCTTTGCTTTTCTTGAGGGATTCTGGGATGAGTTTGCTTCCGTGTTTTTTCACGTGTGGAGCGAGTTCTTTCCCAACTCTATCTGCTACAGCAGCGACACCATCCACTGTCGAATAGAACAAAATATGTTATACATCTTAAAAAAAAATAGGCTTTAAATATTTCGTGATAAAACTAAATACGCCATTGTTTTACCTAGAAACTGGCTGACTTTCACAGCACCCCCAGTGGCCTGCTTGGCTGCATTTAGGCCCTTGGTGACCTTGGGGCTGACCTCTGCTGGCGTCTCCTCTGGGGTGATGTTTTCTCGTAGCTTAGTTGCTCCTCTCTGGATTGCTTTACCGGTAACTTCAGCTCCTCGCACAAGCCCCCGACCCAGCCAGGAGGTCCCTGTAGGGGAAAAATCACAATACCGCCATCACTTGTTTTTCTTTTAGAGTGTATTAGAGTGGCCTCTAGTGGCAAGTTTTAAAATGTACCAATAAGGTGTTCAATGTGTGCATACTACGGTATAAGAAGTATGAACTTTAAACAATTCTACAAAATATAACACGACAAACAACTTTACTCAATTTCTACTTCAATAAAAAAAAAAAATCCCAGTTATCCAATGAGATACCTATAAACATTCCAGGTTTTGGTTACTTTACTCTGATCGTGAAGTTCAGACCTGCTAGAATGCTCTCTGACATTTTTTCACTCCACACAGGAACAGGTTTCTCCTCCCCTCCTGGTGATTGTGTTAGAGATGTTTCTGAAGGAGGAACCTTCTCACTCAGGTTTGTGTCTTTTCCTGTAGCACCACCTTTCTCTTCATCTACCTTAAATAAAAAGGCCTCAGTTATAACCAGTATGAGGTAGTAAACTTAAAGGATAACTTTGCCGATTTTCAATTAGCTTTGTATTGTTACAAATCTCACATAAACTGTGAAATTTGGAGGACAAGAAAAAAAGGTCCATTGTCCATTATCAATAGTGTAGTAATGCATGAAGCATGACTCACACAGAAGTCACTTTTAAAGGGTCCATATAATGCCATTTTTGTACAAGCTAATATGATTCTTTAGGGTCTAAATTAGAAAGTTTGTAATATACTTTAATAAAAAATTCTCATTAGTATTGTAAGAAAACACTTATTTTACCTGGTCAAAAACAGCTCTGTTTTCAGCACGCCGTTTCAGTGCATATGCCTTTAAATGATAATGAGCTTTGCTCAGCCCGCCTCTCTGTTCTGTGCGTACACCGTTCGTAACACAATAACACAATAACCATAACGCGTTGTTCATTATAGACGTGGGATTATGAATTATATTGAGAACGTCGTACATAGAAAACATGCCGTAATGTACCCTGAGTGTAAACCTTAGACGCATTCATTGTGAAGCGTCCAGCTAGCGTTTTGCAAAGATTAATATAAATATTAATATAAAGGTTAATAAAACGTTACACTCACTTCAGTTCTTCTGGAGGTTCAGCAGGAACACGAATAGCTGGTACCGATCCTTTTTTCATGAGCAGCTTCTTAGCAAAACCAGCTTTATACTGACCCTCCTTTATAAAGCAGTCTGGTGAGAAATGATTCGCGCCAACATGAAAGCATTGACGTTGCTCGTGGGGAATATTCCCTTCGAAAACAAACTCAGCCACTGCGTCTTCAGCGGTTCGGATTTAGGAACATTAAAATGACTGCTGTGTTCGTTATTACACCCAAGAACAGAACACCACAATCGCTTAGACGCCATTCTGCTCATAGACAGTGCTCCAGCGTATCAACAATGACCGCGCCGGTCCGCGCAGACTATGATTGGGTCTGTGTTGAAACGCTGCTGTCAATCAACAATCGTGGGAGGGGCTTCCGACCGTGTGACGTCACACGGTCGAACTGGCTTGATTTGAGGCAGGGGAAAACATAAGGAGATTTAAAAAAAAAACACTGGATGGATTTTTATCATTTTATGATGGTTGTGTACAGGCACTGCCAACACACATTTCAGTAAAATCATGTATGTACCATTATATGACCCCTTTAAACCAAGAGCTTATTGTTCATCAGTGCAGCATATTTGTGTGACCGCCTCAAACCCAAAGAGAAAACTATGCGGGAAAATGTTTCGCCCTCACACAATACTCCGGATCACATGGATTCCTATTGAAATGACTGGATTTTGCCAAGCAATGTTAAACACAACTGCACCATTATAAGTAATACAAAAGTAAATGTATAGATTCAGAAACAGCTATAAAACAATTAATTTTGTCTTTTTTTCATCATAACTTTTCTTCTCTGAGTTTGATTACCTGGACCCTGAGCTGTGCCAACACTGACAGCTGTTGCTGGAACCGATCCCGGTCGGCTGCAGGCAGCTCTGAGGACAGCACAACCCCGACGTAGGACCCTGGCACTGCTGCTGTGGTGTCAGGAAATGTGAACACACCTTTGTTGCTAAGTAAGATTGGGGAGTCAGGGTACAGTGGGTAGATCCGATCACAAACCTGCAAGCACAAAATGAAGAGTCTCTTTTGCTGTACATGATCTTTCCCTTATCTTTTTAAACCAAAACATTTGAAACTGAGGTTCAAGGACCCCCAGGAGCCTGCAAGAACAGAAAATATGAGAATATGATCATCATTCTGTCATCAGAAATAATTTATCATGGTTCATTTATTGTATTGACAGCCATATTTTTTAGTCTTGAGCGACAAAACGTTTGAAAACCCTGCTTTAAACTACAATAAAGATTAATTTTGTGTATTTGGATGTCACTGTGCATATGAGGGAAAACTGGGGTCAAATGAGACTGGAATTTTATTGCATATTTTTGGGCGCTGTGCAACCATTCAGAATGCCAGCCTTTGTTCTGGACAGCTAAAGTGGGACAAAAGACCACAGTGGGACACACGCAGCAGTTATGTTAGAGAGTGGACTGCACGTGTCCTACATCAAGCCCCAGAGCAAAGAGAGCACTGGACAGCTATCAGCCCTCAAACTGGAAATCTGCCAATACTGCACAGAGCCGACAGTCAGCTATTCAATGAGATTTCTATGTGCTGAAACAGCGTGCAGACTGACTCTGTACAAAGAGCCCTGGCTTCATCTGTAACAAGACTGTTTCTAGCACTGCATAAACCAAACAGACCTAAAGCATTTGATATAACCTCCACAGAGTCCTGTTGGGCTGGCTTTTGCGGGTTTGAAAGAAGAGGTGGAGCAGTAAAACCACCCTTTTGACGTTTGAAAGTGAATCATGTTTAAACCATGTCAGATATAAATTACTATAAAAAACCAACTGAAAGTAAAACTACCCTGAGTTTAAAAGTTGTCACAAATACTACATATCGAATGATCTATTCCTAATGAATCTCAATCCTTCTCTTAATAAAACACAAGGTTTCTACTTCTCTCTGCTCTCCCACACAAGAAAGTGTGTGCCTGTAATTGTATAACATGATGAGCATGACAGTAATTTCAGTTATTTTGCTGTCAGCCATGAGTTGACGTTCAAGAATAACCAAACCCTACATAGACGTAATTCTTAATAATAAAAAAACGCCCAGTTTCATGTGATCATCACAAGACCTCTCTTGTGTGCAAGGTAAACATACAGCAAAATTACAGGGTGGATAATATATGATGTGATGCTAGTTTAAAAAAATGAAGATGAAACTTTGAACTGAATATATTAACAGTTCATACACACAAAAAATATTTTTGTCTTGTTTGCCAGTAAAAATATATTAAAAAGTTACAATCTTTTTTTGCAAAAGATTGCTTAAGACTTAAGTTTATAAGTTTGTTTTCGTACTGCATTTTTTTATTTTAAGCATAAATCAAACAGAATTCAAAGCATTTTCTGCTTAAAACAAGGAGAAGTCACAATTATTATATTTAGTTAATTATTATATTTTATTTCCAGTTTTCATTTTAATTTTAGATTGATTAATCTTGTCATTTTTATTCGTTTTTTTTTATATTCCCATATTTATTTTTAATTTAATTAATTGTAGTAGGCTACTTCAATATTTATTTCATTTCTCATTTTCGTTTAAGTTGTTTAGGTTTTTCACTTAAGATTTATATTTTATTTTATTTCAGATTTTTTAAAACAATTTTGGTAACAGTTAACATTAGTTAATGTATTAACTGACATGAACTCAATGAGCAATTCATTTGTTGCTGTATTTGTTAATCTTTGTTAACGTTAGTTAATAAAAAATACAGGTGCTCAACATTGTTTGTTCATGTTACTTCACAGTGCATTTACTAATGTTAACAAGATTTTAATAAAGTATTAGTAAATGTTGAAAATAACATTAACAAAGATTAATAAATGCTGTATACGAACAGTTACCTTATTGTAAAGTGTTACCCAATTTTTAGTTTTAGTTAACAATAACACAGCTGGTGAATAAGACCAAAAAAAGTATACAAATGAATATAGAAATATTGTCCAAACACAATATTTACCTGTAGGTAGGCTGGGGCATAGCCAGCACTCCTGTCAGAGTTTTGGCTGCTGTTTATTATTCGTAGGTATCCTGGATAAGAAGGGGCGCTGACATGACCCTCAGCAGACACAAAGAACATCTGGACCCCACTGGGCAAGAACATAACCTCCATGCCAACCTCTCTGAGATTGACTGGGGCGAATGCCTGACGCTGGGGCTGAGCAGCTTGAAATGGCCTGTTGCCTCCATGAGAGAGTGACAGGTGCCCATCTGTTGGTTGTGGAGTGTAGGCTGGTGGAAGCTCACTGGGTACAGTGAAGCCCACCATAGGGGAGGCAGGACGAGCAGGGGCCCCTCCTGAAGCTGAGAGATGTGTTCTGGTGTTAGGTGGCTGGGGGTCCTGGAGGACAGGAAGGGTCGGGTAAAGGCGCTGACCCGGGGTCGCAGTGGACTCTAGCACCCCTAGACGAGAGGTGATAATGCTCAGAGTCTCGTTCATCCTCAGCTGCGTCTGTCGCGCGACGTCCCAGCCGCGTCCGACGCAGCGCTCGCCCTGTGTGTTCACCTCTAGCCCTCTGAGAAGATGCCGCCTGCCCAGTCTGTACTGAAGAAGAGCTTGCTCCTTATTCCCAGCATCATCACACTGAAGCCCTGTGTTCAGACACTCCAGAGCTTTCGCATAGCTCTCGCGAATGGCTCGAATTTCAGCCGGATCTGATGACTCCATTCCAATGCCAGGACACTTTAGAGAAATGACTGTGCTATGACTTTGCGGTTGAAAACTAAAAGAGTTACTATTAAAGTTGTCTACTCTACGAGATAGCTACTTAGGAAAAGCGTGACAGCCGGGCTGCTCGAAAGTACAATTAATAGTCCACCAGCTTTTGTGACCAAGCAGGTTTAACCAGATTACGGGGGAAAAAACTAAAACAATGTTCATAGCGCTTCTGGTCATAGCGCTCCAAGGCGCGAAAAAACTGGATGTGTAATACTTAAAAACACCTGAAAGAATAAAGTGAATATCACAGGGCGAAACCTTTTCTTCTCTATCCATACCCAAACAGATTTTAGCGTTCTAAAGTGAAGCACGTCATATAAGCCTAAATAAGACAGCCTAAATGATTAAATAAACGATGGAACCATAAAAAAATAAAATAAAAAAACTGACCAGCAAGGATAAAACTGAGTTAAACCTGCTTTTCGGGACGGGATTCGCACAGTAAGCGCTAGAGGTCGTTGTTTACCATAAAACAATGCCGCATGGAAATCAACCCTTTATACGGGACTATGTAATCACAGCTAGAAAAAAAAAGACTTTATAAATTTACATATATTTAAGACTGAAATCATTTTTCTACATGTGATCTTTGACCTTTTTTTAAATTGCCGTCATTTAGAACTGACTTTGTCAGGGTATATTATTTGTGACAAATTGTCTGAAATTTCACACACATTCAAGTGCATTTTCACTATCTGAAAAATAGTGAAAGGGTCTTTAAAAAAAACTAACTACTTAAAAAAAATTTTTATTAACATTACATTTCATATTGTGCTACTATATTTCATTTGGAACTCACAAATGGGGGGTCAAAAACTTGAATTCAATGCCTGGATAACGAAAATAATTCTTAGTTTCAAAGAGGAAAAGTTTCTCTTGGAATCCCAAATCAATGATTGTAGCACAAGTGAAAATTAACAAGACTCTTTCTGTGTACCCCACACAAAACTTGGTTTTGACTATCACTTTTGGAGCATCCCTGCTTGCCAGTGTAATGAGGCCAATTTGCAGTGGATAGTTGTACGGATCACATCTTCAAACTGGTGTAGGATAAATGTACCCAAAAGCCTGACTTAAATCTCTGCCATCACCCTCACTGCTTCTATCCTCAATCTTAAACTTACTATGGCCTTATTTTCTGATGCACTGCCAACCACTACTTTGTAGAAAAGGTACAGCTTTTCCTCGATCTTCTATAAAACAGGCAAAAAGGCTATTGTGCTGCCTGCTAGAACTGAACAAGATTTCTTCAAAAGGAACTTGTGCATTTTCTAGTTTAAAAATGAACTCTATATGGAGCCTTGACAGCATGTGACCTAACTGGTGCTGCTAATGTCTCCACTTTTGCCAAAAACCAGCACATGGCAAATATACATTTTTGGCTGAAGGTGGACATCATACATTACTAAAACTTAATTTAGGCTGAACAATATTGTCTTACAGGCAATTTTCCCCTCACATTTATAAATGTCCTTTAGAGGGTTAAGTGTACCACACTGGTCAAAAGACTCCAAGGAAGCAGCACTGCAACTTGTTTTGTTTATTGAAATACAGTATGGAGTACATGATATTGCATGCAGTATACACGTAAAACACATGGTATACCAGTAATGAGACCCTAAGGAAGGAAAGGTAGACAAAGTGGTACAAAACCATTCGTTCATCTAAAATCTTTACAGAAATGGGAGCGTACAGCCTTCAGACCAACATAATGTTGGATTTACAGAGAAACAAGTCACAACTTTGATTACATTATGTATTAAGCGACCTATGATAAAAATCACGTTTTAAAAAGTCTTAAAAAAAACATTTAAAAATCAATTTCATTCAATATTTACAAGAGACTTAAGCGCTACAGTTCATTTGTGGGCCAAGGAATCCATGTGGTCACCAAAACATCAAGGGAGTGGCAGAGACTCCACAGGCTCAATAAGGGACACGCCACAATTTCTGAAAGACAGGATTAGTCATTAGGGCTAGGGCAAAAACCAAGACAGCCATGTTACAAATGCCCACTCACTTTGAGCTCTTGTACTTCTCTTGGATAGCCTGTTGAGGGCGACTTGCAGCCCCTAGATGGAGCTTATGAAGCTCCTTCAGACATGGGCTGATCACTCCCAGTGAGTAACCAGTGAAGGCATACAGGTTCTCAGGCTGTAAGAAACAAGACATTTTATTAGATTAGACATATTGCACACAATTTGAGAAAGTATTTGGGGTTTACTAAAAATACAAACCACCTGACCTATAGTGGTTTAAGCATGAAGACTCTTAATTGGTTTGTCTGAATAAAACAGCGTAACCATTAAAAAGGCTAGACTCACCCACAGAGCCCCATTTAGAGTGTAGTTGGCCAGACAATATGCAGCTGCAGCAATCTTGGAAGGCAGATACTGCACAAAGGGATCCACTTCTAGCAGGCTCAACTCTGAAAGAAACTATGGGGCAGGGAGAAAAGAAAATCAATATCCAATTTAGAAAAAAAAAAAAACTACAAAAATACCCCCCTCTCCTCACCAAAGCAAGGTTGACGGTCCTGGCACAGATCTGCTCCTCCAAAGTGTACTGCATCAAAAACTGGTGCACTGTGGGTACAGTCATGTCAAAAGCAAGCACTCGGAGCAAGTGCTGCTCCATCCGAAGCAGCTGTTTCTTTGTGTAGCTATCATCCGTGATGTACACAAACTCATCCACTTCGGGAGGATACACCTCCTCGTATTTCCTAATCAGAAACAGGCCATGCGGTTACGTCACTAGGTAACACTTAAAGACAATAGCTCATCACTTACGCAGCCAGGAGTACAGCAGCTGTTCCCACAAGCTGCAATTTCCCTCTCAGGACAGACATGCACGAAAGGAAGCGGTCCAGGTAATTGACAGCCAGGTAGAGAGTCTCCGAGCACAGCTTGTATTCCTCGCCAACTTCAACCAGCCAGTCGACAAGGATGATTCTCATACAGTTGGTTATGTCGGGTTGCCTTCTCATATAGCTGGCCTTCGGCCTGTACTTAACCTGAGAAGCAAAGTGCATTAGATACAGGGGCAAGTTGCATAAACTTAGCAACCATGTTAAGACTGTCTTAAGAACTAGTTTGACCAACTTGCAGTTAACAATGGCTAATCAAGCTTTTCCAATTGAAATTAGACCAATCTGCAATCTTATGTAACTAACTTGAAGAAACTTAGGAGACTAACTTTTAAGACTAGACTAAACGGTTTATGCAACCGGCCACAGATAAGAGTAAATACACCAACTTCGCATTCACGCAGGTATCTGTGGATGTCCTCAGCATACTCAGGAACACACAAGACGTCCTCAGAGGAAGCATCCACCGACAATGAACACATAGAAGCATCCATGCAAGACCCTAAATATTTAGGAAGTACAGTTAAGCCATATCCATAAGGATCTGCCTTGGAAGCGACAGAAAGAAACATATCTTGGGTTCAGTGTTATAAATATTGCATTATATACTATGTTATAGCTGTGACTGCAAAGTCACTGCTTTAAAGTGACTATGGAAAATATATATATTAAAAACAATAAACAGTTTCATAATCGTGATATTCACACTTTTATAGATTGTCATACCTGAGCCAAGATCTTGGATAACATCATCTACAAGGAGAAGCTCTGAAGGCATCAAGAATGAGGTGGACTGTTCAGCTGACTGCACGACTGGCTCAAGCTCATCGCCACCAAGTGTAGCACTGTTTGTGTTGACGTCACGAGTAGATGCAGCATGAAAAGCTGACTCATATTTGGATGAAATCTTAAAAACACAAACAACGTCACTTTCTTACGCTTTTGGAGTAAGAAATGTAAACCCTTGACAGACACTAACCTGGCCAAATACTCGATTATGCTGATCATTCTCTGTCAAAACACCGAGTACAAGCCTTTGCCCGGGCTTGTGAGCGCGCAGGCCATCCGCTCTTCCCAGGCCTATCGTGTTTTCCTGACGACTGGAGAGAGGAGCGAAGCTACGGGAAGCCATTTTTATCACTTCTGAAAAGAAGAGTCCGTTCAACACTTCAAATTATAAACAACTATTTGAATAAAAGACATTAAAAACTAAACCGGTCGAAACCAACCTTTTTACCACTGCGTCAAACTCTAAAAAGCCAATAAACTCTCAGTAAATGGATCACAGTATTTTGACTGTGACTGTCTCTCTAACCCCTTTATACGTGCATGTCGATATACATGACCAATCGACATGCGGCTAGTTAAAATATTTGGCTTAATTTAGATCCGCTGCTTTCCCCAGGTGTAGCAAATAAAAGCTAATTAAACTCGCATCTTCTTGAGGATTCGTCACATGGCTGGGTAACCATGGAAACGCGTTTCTTGGCTGTTCAGTGACAGTATTGATGATGCGTATTTGACAAATAACACACAAAAAATTTCGACGTAAAGAATTTATACACAGGTTTGAATTATTGTCACAATGACATTTAAGATGAAATCTCATTTTCACTAGCTATGAACATTGCCATAACATAAAAAAATAGATGTTTGATAACTTTATGTTGTGGTCATTTTTGTCTTGCTCTAGTAGGTTATTTTATTCTATCTAAATACACACAGTAAAAAAAAAACATGTTTTTGCCTAATTTGAAAAAAAATTACAGCTTGATTGGAAATTATGCAAAATAAAATATTGTATTCAATCCTGATATTTAGGGCCTAACTCGATTTTTTTTTTTTTTTTTTTTACACATCACATTTCATAATTCTTTTATTTTTATTTTGTACATTTCATGTAAATCGTGATTAATCGCATCTATCATGAAAGTTTGTAAATGTGTGTGTGTGTGTGTGTGTGTATTAGGAAGTATAGCAGCATTTCTCACTGCAGGACACAGCTGTCACTGCTTGATATTTCTTAACAACCCAGATTCAAAGCTGAGTAATGCTGTAGATGTGCTTCACATTTCTCGCTATTGGGGATGTTTACACCAGCGTGGGCTCTCATTTAAGTCTGACTCCTGCGAAGATCGCTCTGAATATGTGATGTAAGACTGAACAATTCACTGCATGGGCCTTGACCAGGAACCTTTTGAGAAATGCGAGTCTCTGCAGGTGTCACAATACAAAGGCTCTAGAAATCCAATTAAAGAACTCATTACAATAAACTACAGCAGGGCTCAATTCAATATCTCAAGCACAAATATCTCACCACGAGATCACATGAAAAGAGGCATTCAAAACCCACCGGACCTGTTCTGAGAACAAACACAAGCAGAGAATTTAGTGCAAATGTAAACCTTTATCTCTGAGGAGAACTGCTTACTCTGCATTTCAAGTGACAATATATAAGTAGTTACAGGTTGAATGTCTACATTCATTTGTGACACAGAGAATAAGATGAACATGGCTCTCTCGACATGGCTGTCAATTGTTGAGTTTATTCTTAGAAACAGGCTCTGTCTGGAAATGATGAATTCTTTCTTTCCATCCCTGGCGCTGTTATTTTGTCTTTGTCTTGCAGAGAGAGAAATTTCAACAATAACAGAGTGCTGACACCCAGGGTAAACTGTGTTACAGAGCAAGATATGCTGAGATTTGAATCAGGTGATGTATAAACAAGCAGTAAACCCAGAGCTGGAGATTAGGTTTGTGCTTATAGTTCAGGAGGATATACACTTCAGAAGGATTCTTTTCCCACTCAAGTAAACACATGACATCAACACTAAAATATTCAGAGAATGCAGTAGCCCATGAACACTCACGGTACTGACGTATGTAACTTGGGGTTCTGACGTGTGTTAGCCAAAAATCAGCGTTTGTGAAAGGAATCACCCTAAGAAGTGATTCATTTGATAACCCATATGGACATTTTCTGAAGTTTGACTGTAAATTTCAGAAGTGTTCTGCATGCTGTAAGGCAGATTGAATTGGATCCCTGCCATTCTATTATCTTGATGTATTGCATCTGACAGCCCACCGACAGCTGAGTTATAGCGATAAATTTCCAGTTCTCGTATATGCTGTGAAATGTTGATGCCAGTTCACAGCTAAGACCAAATTTTCCTGTGCCAAACCTCTGCAGGCAGATATAATGGAGTTTAACATATTCTTGTATGGTGCTAGTTGCTTTGGTTAAAGTTGTCTGCACAAATGTGTAAAGAAAGAAATAAGTGATTAAATAAGCATTTATTTTATATAGATCTACAACTTAGGAGAAATTACAATTTTCAGGTCTTTTAGTGTTGTGGCTCCCAGGTTGTGCAATGTTTTTCCTCAAGACATCTGTCAAGCATCCTCCCTTCTTTCTTTCAAAAACCTCATAAAATCTTTTTTTTTTCTCTCTGAATATTACTCTTCAGCTCTTGGTCTGTAAACTGCACTTTGTTATGGATGTTTATTAGACTGTATTCCTAACCTAACTTTGTAAAGCGACCCATGGGTTTTGGAAAGGCGCAATAAAAAAAAAGTTTATTATTAAAAGCATTGCTTGTAAGGCCCTTTTACTTAATGTTAATTTAGTTTTTAAATTAAATTAAATCTGATTGAACTATTTTAACGATTTAGCTATTTTTTGTTTTTTATCCACAGTAGTGGCCAAAAGTGATGTCCGGCCTTCATCCTTTATTACAAAAATTAAACATTTGTTAAAGATTTAGTAATGTTACATAGTTTTGCTTGGAGTCAACTGTTTTATTTGTGATAAGGCAAATTGTGCGGAAATAATTTTTGGCCAGGCTGTCATCCAAAGAAATTATGAACACGTGCAAAAACAAGAGAGAACCAACAAAATATTATGTTGTTGTTGATGTATGCTTGAGCTCATCTATGCATTTTTTTTTTTCATATAAAACCTGTAGCTGTAGTTTGCCTTTTTTGCCAAATAATTTTGTCAGATAAATACCTTAACCAAGCTTAGTGTTTTATTCTTCCTTCATATTTAAAATATTTAAAAACATTAAAAATTTTGATGGTTTAAATCGAACTTGTATAGGGTCAATAAAAACAAATTTCGGGCACAACTTTAGGCCACTACTGTATACATCCATAAATGTAAATTCCTGAACATACAGTATTTGTGTGTAAAATAAATACAATTAAATAGGAACATGTAATTACTGCTATTTTTAGTCTTTTTGTTTCAAAATCTTAGTTAATAAATGTTGAAAATGATATATTTCTCTATTGAATGTTTTATAACTCTACAACTTCTCTAATAAAAAGACCCATTTAAGTCACTTAAGTTTTTAATTCAATTAAATTGGAAGTTATAATTATTGCTTTTTTAGTTCGTTTTTATCCATATCTGTCTATGTAAATGACCATAGCATGTATGTGCCTGTATGACAGGGTGGAAGTTAGTCCACTCAAAGATGATACTGTCTGAGCAACACAGAGACCTCTGAGACTTTGATTACTATGCAAAGAGCATCATCTCAGTTGGGAGAAAACGGGAAATAGAAAGAGAGAGCGCCATCTCCACAAAGTATTCCTCTGACATGCTCCACTGTGTAAACCTCCCCATAGTGCCTAGAGTATTCCACAGGATAATCCTGATTGACACATTGCCGTTGTCTGCCACAAAGGTTCTTCAAACATGCCATTCTTGTCAAAACCAGTAGAGCAGACCGGGGGTGAGAGGATGATTCATTGTCAATTCGACCCTTTCCTCCTGAAGTTAGCACACAGTCTAATCAAAAACCCTTCAGGCGACCCTGTCGTCGAATGCCGTGTGTTAACATTCGAACTACACTCGCGTGCAATGGGAACAGATGCACCAAAGCTGTGCTGAATCGCTTGTATCAGGGGAATAACAAACCTTCTCCGATTTTTAGTTTTATGGATTAGAGGAAAAATCAGCCAAGGCACTGCTCTTATCAAAATCCAACAGCATTCACTCATGTGCCTCAGCGCTGGCATTAGCTGGAACAATTATAATGACCCAAGAGACAGGACAGACACAGCAGGACTCAGGAAGGGTACCCACAATCCCCAGCGGGCATCTGAACTGCAGTGGAATGCCGCCAAAATATGTCTAGAGGCAGATATTACCCTCTAACTCCCGTCCTTGCACATTTCATGATGCGAGCCGCGAGCGAATACTCAGATGAATGTGAAAAAGCCCAAAATGAACATTCTGTCATCATTTACTCACCCTCATGTTGTTCCAAACCCTCATATTGTATGGCTTTCTCTCTCAAATTGACCTACCCTGCCTTTAACTCAATCAACTGACTTGAGTTGAATAATGACACTATTGTCTATTTTGAGCTGCTTTAAAGCAGAATTTGAAATCGTCTTATTTTTGATGAACGATCACTGATCGTTATTTTCCTGTTCATCACTGTGAAGCTGCTTTGAAACAATATAGCACTATACAAATAAAGATTGACTTGACAAAAACAGTTGAACGACAGGTTTGGAATAAAATGAGAGTGAGTAAATGATGACAGATTTTTGAGCCTTAAGAACACAAGCTTTTGTTATTACCGAAACAGAATTCCCATTCATGATTCACAAAACAATAGCAAAAGCGAGCTGCGCCAGAGAGTCATGCTTTGCTTTGCGCAGATCCATAATCTGTGTTGCGTGTCTTTAGTGCACAGAGCAGAAGAGATAAGACCTTCCCAGGAGGCATGACGCCTCTGTCCTATTGACATGCATAGCTCTGCCCCACTGCTTGCATCCAAAGCTCCATCCATATGCCAGCCTGCGCCAGACTCTCTGTAGACAGACATACCGACACGTCACAAATTCAGTTACTGAGGAGATAACAAAGAGATTTTAACAAATACAGAACAAGTTCTTTAGATTTTTTAAATGTGTAACACTTTATAATGGTGACACTTTATGTTGTAGTGTGCTTGTTACATGTTACATTCTTCTATGACATAGTGTTAAAAGCCATTTTTAGAACCTTCATTTTTAAGATTAAGCTTGACTAAATCATTTATAAATTCAACAAAAACCTTCATGCTTAATTCACAAAGCAGAACAGCCCTTTCATACAATATATGAGCGTGATGTCGCCTGGGTAAAGGTCTCATTGAGTGTTCATTACATCTGAGAGTAACGCCACAAAGACGTCTACAAGAGGCCTCTCGGCTCATGATGCTGATGAGAGCGGTGATTAGCTCTGTCAGATATGAATGACTGAGCACGGCACCATGGGAGAAGACAAGACAGAAGCCTGTCATCTAGTCTAAGCTGCTGAGCTGAGTAATATCACTGAGATAATCAAATCCCAATCACAGCAATTAAAGCGAGAACGATCGTACCATCTTTTATGAGTTAAGCGAGACATCTTTTTCGTCTTTAATTGAAACATAAATCAGCTGCTAAAGAAACCGAAAAGACGTCAATGAGATGAGAGGGTGGCAAGAAAGGGAGAGAGATGATAGGAATGAAACGGAGAGGGAGGGGGATTCAGAGTAAAACAGCTGGACAGTCGATATCCAGCCCACTGTTGAGAACCAGCCCACCAGACCGAGCGCATTCAAATACCCTGCTTCCTCTCACTCTCAGTGCAAACACGAGTGGCATCTATTTCAGCGTGTGTGTGCTATAGCTTAAGGAATCCCATAAGGAATTCTCTCCTGGACCACGAGATGAGCGTGACGGGCAGCTCTGTGATTTAGTGCCGACGACTCTTTTTTGCATCAGAAAGGTCAGAATTTCTCCTTGTCAATGTTCATTACTTAGAAAAAAGATAAAAGTTGAAGTTATTTTTAATTTGAATGTCAAAAAACTCAAGTGTCTGGGATGCCATGGAATATTTAATATTCAAACTGACTTAAATGTGTCATCATGCTTAATTGAAATTATCTTATGTAATCGTATAGTAAGTGATTTAAAGAGATAAATCTGCCTGTGGTAAATCACAATGGATAGTCATCAGCCATTCCAGTCAGTGCAAATGTCTTTTTCTAAATCCCTCTGTATTTTGCCATCCCCCGCTCCCCTCGTTCATTGACATCCTCTGTGGTGTTTTATGTTTTGAGTTATTTTCTTAATAGCCAAATTCTCCTTCCACAAGCTTCCCTCAACAGAAATCCATAAACAGAGATTAGAGCCGCACACTGAAATGACCCACTGAACTTCTCCTGAAATTGCATGCAAAGCACAAGAGGGATTGAATGATTTATATTGCCGCAGGGAATCGCATCTCACTCATAAACTGAAAAGCGGGTTAGGGGAACGATAAAGTTGACTGAGAAAACGTCCAGGAAAATAAGTGTGATTCCCCTTTGTTGCTGCATGTCTTCTAGCGTTTGCTTCTGCAGACGAATTCATCTCACAACTCAGAAAAAAGAAAGTGGTCATAAGTCATGACTCTTTATGAGACTCTAACCACAGGCTCTTAGGGCTTGCTGTGGCTCAGACGACTGTCGTCCCACACAATGAAGCTTAGGGGACTGAAAAATGCCAGCGGACAAACAAATAGCAAGTTTTAGTGTTGTGAGCTGAACCGCAGCCTAAAAATACTTCACTTGTTTTGTCCAGCATATGTGTATAATTTTTAGGGTTCTCAAAAACAAATTCTGAACACCGTGATAAATGTTACAGTGATTTGCAAAATTGCAACTCTTAAAATTAATATGGCAACACTTTACAATAAGGTCTCATTTGGTCAAATGCATTAAAGTGCCCTTATTATGCTATTTTAAAGGTTCCTAATTTTGTTTTGGGGGTCTCCTACAATATGCATCCAAGATCACTTTAATTTTCTCATAATATACAATGCACATCATCTCATTTCTCAAAGAGTCTGAAAACGGTTTGTTCGAAGATTCTGTCTCTCTAATCCCACCCTTTCTGACTGGTCAGATGGCACAGTCTGTTGTGATTGGTATATCGCTTACAGTGCGTGTCGGAAACGGAAAAATCTGAAATTCAGCTTCGGAGGCTTCCTCAGCACTCGATACACAGTGATAGGAACGATGGCATCTGTGTTTCAATATCAATTCCAGAGCAAGTCCTCATCCTTTGGAAGTGCACACAAAGTAGATTTGCAGCGCAGAAAACAGTCTTCTTGACGAACCAAACTCTTCCAGTCTAAGAGACAACTACAGTGTTTTAGGGCGGATCAAAGTAGATGTTGGAAGCTAATGAAGACCATAGGCTGGCATTATGCAAATTTATTACATTGTTATGTAGGTATATAACAGGAAGTGAGAATGGAATTAATGACGACTCGTTTTAGCCTTATTATAGGTCAAAACAATAACCTCAACAACCCATCATGACAGCCTCTGCTTTGATAGAAGTACCCTGTGTCTGCCCTGAGCAATCCTGTGAAGTGTCTCCCATTACAGAGGAATTGGAGGAAAAGCATACAGAAGACAATCTGGCCAATTGTGTGACAGTGCTTCCTGCCCCAATGGACTGGACGCTTCCATCTGGGCAAACCACAACAGGGAGTGAGTTGTGTTTTCTAAAGCAAACGGATCCAAACTCCTGCCAAATGTCCTGAAATACATTCGGGTGGAGCCTCCACTCACCCTGATCTATCCAATTCCTGGACAGAGCTTTCTACAGCCTGATTGACTACCTCTGGCAGATAGGCAGCCCTTTGTGATGCAAACCGTGGAAGTGATCAGATGAGGATATTGTGAGTGAGCCGCAACAAGCTCTCCGACTTTGTTCCCCCTTGGTGGTTCAGATTGAAAACCGTTGACATGTTGTCCGAATGTACAAGCATGTGGCAGCCCGCCAGACCCAGAAGGAAATGTCTTAAGGCCAGAAAAAATGCACGCATCTCCCAAAGGTTGATGTGATCCATCAACGGGTCCCTTGACCATTTTCCACTGATACCTCTATAAGTATGGGTCTAAATGGTAGAACGCTGAACTGGTAACTCTTGTTTCTGAAACTGAAGCATAGAAACTTCCTGTGATGCATGGCAATCAGAACATGGAAATATGCATCCGCAAGGTCAACACTTGTGAACCAATCTCTTTCTGCCACTGACCGAAGAGCATCGGTCATGCGAAATGGGAGCTTATTTAAGAACTTGTTGAGTCACCTCAAAATCTAAAATTGGACGAAAACCCCTGTCTCGCTTTGGATTGGAACCAGAAAATATGTTGAGTAAAACCCCTCCCTCTGAAATAGGGGACGAACCTCCTTGGTTGCTCTCTTCTCCAACAAGGAAAGAATTTCTTGAGAGAGAGAGCTACTGAATGAATCGGGTCTACCACAACTGATGGAACGCAACCCGAAAACTTGGGGGGCTGTCGGTGGAACTGCAGAGTATAACCGTTGCGCAATGTCGCCAAGATTCAAGGGTCTGACACTGTGCTCTCCCAGCAACTCAGATGATGTGTCGTATAACGTCCGACCACCAGCCCTAGTATCTCAGGCCTTGAAGTTTCGGCCTTTTGAAGTTGTTGGGGGGCAGCTGACATGGACCCCTCTGGAGAACGGTGGGGGCTGGACTACTATGGGGGAGATGCATCATCAAAATCACCAGAACTCGGAAATCTCTGCTGGCCCTGAAGTCAGTCATGGCGAAAACATGGTTGCACAGGCATGTAACGCCGATGAGCAGGTGCTGTTGGCATTCTAAAATTTGGGATGGCATTCTAAAATCTGCTGAGTGGTCAAAGACATCTTCATGAGTCTTTTCAACACCTCAGATACATCGGGACCAAAAAGAAGTCCAGGAACGATGGGTAGATCCCTCAAGGTCTTTTTACAATCCTCTGGCGATCTGGCCTGAGCAAGCCATACCTGCCAGCGAGCAGTCAAGAGCGTTGCCGTGAGAGATCCCAGTTCTCTGTCACATTCCCCATAGCCAGTACGTCCCAGCTGTTCGACTTCAGGTACACTCCGCACTCCAATGGATTCAGCTTCTGCCATTGAAGCCAGAGTGCGAGCAGTCTTGGAACGCCTTTTGGCTATAAACTGAAGAGTATGTGTAGGGCAGTCATCAAGACCAAGATGGGTCACTGCCACCAGAAGCACTTCCAATGTGTCATCCACCTGGGGTGGAGCAGTGCCTGAAGAATGAAGAGAGCCCTTACTAGAACCACCAGCTACCATAGATCCCACTGGCTTGTCCTGCAGCTCAGAAACTTTAGTGGAAAGATGATCCTGGAAATGTGTGTCGGTCGGAAGCACATGCAGGCATAGCATCAAGGTGGGGGCTATGTGGAGTATAGGGTCTCAGGTAGGCTCTTCGCTAGATGATTGTGAGTGAGCGTCCTCTTTGGAAGCCACAGCAGCAGTAGGAACTGAGTCTGCTGGTTGGAGGTTTTGCAAGAGACGTTTCATGTCTAAAGAAAGGCAAGCAACTTTCCTTGATAACAGGTGCCCACCCAAATGACTACCACTAACACTAGATTTTTTCTTAGCCTGAGGAGCACCAGCTGCTGAGGCACGGCACTTTTGAGCTCTCTGCCGCAAATTCAGATCTGCTTGCAAAACACTAGCATCCTGGTTCCTGGTTGTGGTCCAGTCCCGCCAAACACAACTGTCTATCCGACATAGACAGTAAGCTACTATGCAGGCATGGGTCCGTAAGTGCTTCCTTCAGATGCTGAACACCCAGGCATGATGGCCAGAGATCATGCCTATCGTCAGGAAGAAGCTCATTAGGAAAATTCAGCTTGCAATTCAGTGGGAAGGCAATAGAAATTGACTGATACGCCATTTGAACTGTGATAATTAGAAACCCTCTTGATACAACCACGAAGAGTGATAGCAAAATCTCTCTGGATGAACTGCAAGGAACAGAGAAAATAGAGTTTGGTCTCCAAATTCGACCAACACCCACGGTTAAGATCATCGGGCAGATAGTACAAGACAAAGTAAAATGCAAAACGCTCAAAAAAGCTAGTCAACAGCACGGTGACACGCCTAGAACCGTGAGGTAACTGACACCATACAGTAACAGCCCATAAGCAAAATAAAATAAAAACAGCGACTGTGCTGTTGCGGTGGAAAGAACACACACAATCGGTCCCCAGACGGCTCATAATCCGACAGCACGTAGAGCAACTCAGAATAATGGTCAGATATATCTAAACAAGCACGGGCAACCGAATAGAACGGTGAAGCAAGTTCCACCGTGCGAGAACTCACCAAAAATTGTAAAGAGAAAATCCAGTATGAATTCACTCCAATGCAAAACGCATCATCACAGCTTGGGAGGACGAAAAATTAGCTGCTTGACGATGAGAATTGATAACACTATGACCTAATCCAAATGCGAGAAAGCGAAAGAGGTGGGGCTCTGAGCTGCAGTGGCATAATATTCCCTCATACCAATGAAGTCACATGTTTTTCGACCTATCTGGCTGGCGCTGTGATTATCCACTAATATAGCACCATCTCTGGTGGTCAGGAGGAATGAAACAGAACTAGTTTTACCATCAATTTGAACTCTTTCCTGCCATTGACGGAATTTTCTGTTATTTATGAGAATATGCTTCCCGGCCATTGATCGAATTTCCTGGCTTTCCGTGGGGTTTTTTTTTCTTCAACTTTTTGTTCAGCTTTTTTTAATGAAACTTACCTACATTCAAGTGTTAATAAAAAAAGATTCCATGAATCATATTCTTGAATCATCCAATGATTAAGAACTACAAATGTGAAAGAACACATAATAAAAAGTCACATTGTGTCTTGAAATCAGATGGTGACAGCTCATTTGCAGCTCATTTACACACTAATGCACACATGCTCTCTTATGAATTGATATGAAAAGGATTCTCGCACAGCTGAGGTGACCTCCACTAAATTGTGCTCGTCTCAGGGGAAGAACTAAATGTGAATCATGTAACGCTGTCTGTCATATGAGCTTATAAATATGAAAGACTTTTATGCTCAATGCTGAATGTTTGTTGGTAAGCTTCCAATTATAGATCAGATTTAGAATGTACTGTAGACCACAAATAAACCAGCTTTGTAAAACAGCACTGTTGATACCGACAGCCTGTCAAACAAATGATTTGGCATGTTGTTCTCTTTAAATTCGGAAACTCTGTGACATTTTCCTGCTCAGGCACCTCTCAATCAATTATTCATGAGGTGTGAGTATGAAGGCTGTGTAAACAACAGACTGACCTTCTGTGTGCACCACTGAGCCGGTGTGACCAACCCCAAAGTCCTAATGGACCGGCGATGGCCTAACAACAAGCTGCACCAGCTTATGAGCCCACTGATATGCAGGTTGCCTGGATACAAAAAGCATAATTAAATGTGATTATCATCCTCTTCACATTCAATCTGAAGTATTTAAGTGTTCTGGTTGTTGTTGTTGTTTTTTCTGAACAGTAAAAATTCAACATTCATCAAAGACAGAGGTCAGAAAAGGAAATAGTCAGTGAACTCTGGTGGCTCAACTCATTAAATATGACTGGCCTGTTAGATTAATAAAATGAAGTGTAAGACAACAGATTGTGCACTGTTGCACTTTGGAAATTGTCTTGGGAAAAAATAGTTTGACGGCTGTAAGGTATTCTCAAAAAACAATATTATAATATATGTTAAGTATTTATTAAAATTATATTATTATTAGTGCCTGTTATATTCTGGTCTTTATACTCACAGACTCCAGAATATCTTGTTTATCACCCAACGGGTGGTGGTTTATTGAGCAATATACTCTTGAACATGCATAGCACAGTCCCACATGCTAAACAATCACTATTGTTAGAGTGCCGTTAAATAATTTTTTTAATCAAATATTTGTAATTCATAAAATATATAATATATGTGTGTATTTGCACACACACACACACACACACACACACACATACAAACTTTTATGTTAGATGTGATTAATGGCAATTAATCGATTTGACAGCACTAATTATTATATTATATAGTAAAATAATTTTGATATTATATTAGAATATTTTGTTTAATTATAATATAATGTAATCATAATAAATACATTTTATTAAAAAAAATTCAATAGGCCTATTTAATAAATGGTTGTTTGTTCACATTTATAAATTATTAAATATTTCATAAATGCAATAAACATATTAAAGTTTGACCTATCAATGGTCCAGTAGGCCATTAGTGTGAATGGAAAATTAAAATGTCCAGTAATACTTTCAAATATCTAATCTAAGATCCCAATCATGTAATCACACAATCCTAATCCTAATATACATATATTAAAAAAAATTGTATATTATTTTATATAGTCTAATATATTATTTAATTATAAATATTATTTAAAATTAAAATGAATTATTAAATAATAAACAAATGATAAAAATAGGTATTATAATATATTTTAATATTGTAACATAATATAATATAATGATTAAAAAAATTATTAATTACAATTAGCTATATTAACTATTATGATTACAATTAGTGTGAATGGAACAACATTAATGTGTCCAGTAATACTTTCAAATACCTTCTGTATGATCATATGATCACACAATCCTATATAATAAATAATAATAGTAATCATTTCAATTACAAAATAGCAAATTAAGTCAGCAATAATAAGACTTAAATAATTGATCTATCCTTATCCTATCTTCCCAACAGATTCCCAAATCCATCAGATATGTCTGGGATGGATGGGTCGGTGGAGGAGATGAATGGTACGGGAGTAAACAGCGAGAGTTTCCTGAGGTTCAGCCCTACATCTGTTTCTACCGGGGCGGCCGCTGCTTCATATGGACGAACTGCCAATGTTTATGTCTATGTCTCCATCTTCCTCAGCTTGCTGCTTTTCCTGCTCACCCTGTTGATCATTGCTCTCCACAGGCTGAAAAACATCATATCCTCTAGTTCTTCATACCCAGAATGCAGCAGTGAGGCCGGGAGCTCCTTCACGAACATGGAGATCTGCAGTGTTTCCTCACAGAGATCAACAGTGTCCTCGCTGTCCTAGCAGAGAGAGAGAGAGAAGGATCACACACATGTCTGAATGTACTGATAAACTAGAAATTTAGAGATATTTTAGAGGTCATTTTGATGTATAATTAAATATTTATCCGTATTATAAATTTCATTATCAGCTTCATTATTAAGTTAAGGTTTTACATTAAATAATTCTGTCAACAGTATAAAACAACTGTGTAACAATTGAGACCCACAGAAGATCCTCCAGATGGACTGAATTGAAGCATTGACATAAAGGCCTTGTATTTTGGAAAAATGTTAACGTACATAATGAACTGTAAATAGAAAAGCTGCCATGATACTGTCTCTCATATTTAAAAATATATATATTTGACAATATGATTACACTTAGCCTACATATACATAAGTATTATATCCTTTATAATATAATACAACATGTCATCTCTTGGAAGGCTTGAATAAAATCTGATTTGCTCATAAAATATGCATAAGAAACATGTCTTTCATTCACCATGCAAAAAAGTTACAGAACAGAAAAATCATTAGTAAAAATGCATTGAAAACAGTGCAATACAAATATATTTTATATTAGCATAATAACAATTATGCAGTCCGTTTTTATTTTAGTGCTAGTTGGAAACTTCAGGCACTCTTATAAATGTCATTGTATTAGAAATTAATAAAATATAGCAGAAATAGATCTTCACTTTTGCATGCACTTTTGACCAACTTAAGCTCTTATAGTGATTTTTATGAAGCCAGTTTCACAAGTTCACACAGGTCACACTAACTATGGACAGGGTCCACTAATGTTTGATAACCAGACAATGTCCAAATACTTTGTCTTAATTTTTTAAAAGCAAAATATTTATTGTTATATTGGCTCTTTTTTTTTTTAGGACAAAACAGAACAGAATAAAACTATGGAACCGCATGTCTGCCACATAAGAATACTATTTGCATTTACTATAGAGGCTGTGAGACTCATGAAATCCCTGCCTTATAGTGACTGATCTCTCCTTATCATGTATCCCTCTTATTCATTGTGCCTTGTCATAATGATGCTCTGGTTTATATGTGAATTTGATGCACTGCTTTTAAAAACTTGGTGCTTAGTTATTTATTATATAGGTTTTACTTTTCAGGTATTTTTAGTTTACTAAGTTATTTCTAAATGTAGTCTATTAAACTATTTTAAACTTATTGTAGGTAGGCCTATATTATTTATATTTTTTTATTACAGTGCTGGTCCTGAGTACATATTTTGTTCTCATGTGTCAACATGTAATGACAATAAAATACCTTGAAAAAAAATCATGCTTTGGTAAATTCATAATTATGACATAAAAGTAAAAATGATAAGATACTGTATAATTATGAGATAAGTCGAAATTATGACAAACTAAGTTGTAATTATGAGCTAATGTCGAAACTGACAGTCGGAATTGAGGTAAAGTCTAATTGTTACATTAAAAAGTCAATTATGATAAAGAAATCAAGTTTTCATGTCATTACTTTTTTTTCCGTATGTGGCGGAAAGGGGCTTTTATGTAAAACACAATAAAACCATTTGAACTAATAGCTACTATTTTCAATGGACGATGCATACAATATAAACATGTAATCTCCAATATAATACAAAACCCAAACTGAGATCCAACACAGATAAATAAGGAGAAATCATAAAGTGGTCCTGAGGAGTGATATGGTTATTCTAGGAATGTTTACAAAGCTGTCTGACAGCTGTTGGAAAGAAACTAGAGCTGAGATCCCAACACTTTAGAGATCTCAGCAGTTATGTGCTGGGTTAGATGGTTCCTTGGTGGTATCTTTAACATGCCTGTAACATGTTGGATGAACAACATGAACTTGAGATGTATTTTTGTTGGGGACAGATTGCCATACAGGTATGTCAGAATGCTCTCCATAAGCGGAGTAGACATGTTGGCTTTTTGCGCTATCGTCTGCAATTTAGTTTGATATTTTGTTATATAATGCAATGACATTCATATATTTAAGTGTCGCCTACATATGAAAATGTAGTTTAGGGCCAGTGTTTTGGGAGTGTCTGTGAGTCTGCATCGCAGTTTGGTGCCGGTAGAGGGCGAAACATCCATTTGATTCACACACACACACACACACACACACACACACACACAGAGGCGAGTCTCTTTCTGCAGCGGCCATGACTGTTTTGTTTTTGTTGTGACCTCCTTTAAAGCTCATATTCCTTTCCTCCGTTTTTATGCAGGTAGATTATATTTATTGGGTCACTGCAATTTACAATGCGGTATTTTAATAACAGACAGATAAAATCCGTTTTAAACTAAGGTATTCTGTGCCAAGTCTGGTCCGTATGGTTGAATGACAGGTGGGACTCTAATAAAGACAACATGAACGACAGCGTTCATATTAGTTTAGCAAACACGGGTAAAGACAGCCAAACCCCCGCACCCGCGGAGAGCAGCGCCACCACCCCGTCAGACCAGGAGAACTTCCCGTACGACGCGGAAGACCCGGGCGACGAGAGCGACGTGCCGGAGGCGAGAGACGACGAGCTCAACGACGACGAGACGTCCGGAGAGAGCGAGAACGTGTCCAAGACCTGCATCTATGACGGCTGCACGGAGACCACGACTCAGGTGGCCAAAGCCAGGAAACCCTGGATGTGCAAAAAACACCGGAATAAAATGTACAAGGACAAGTATAAGAAGAAGAAAAGCGACCAGGCCATGTCAACTGGAAAACTAGACGTAAGAAACGTTTGGACAAACAACAGTCTCAGTTTAAGCTTGAACTTAAGGTCCCAACTTTATAAGCTTAATTTCAAACTGTTTTGTCTTTCGTGATGTGTAGGAGGGTACGGAGGAGAGGCCTGTGTCCGTTACTAAGCAACGGCTGGGTACCATAGGAGACAGGCCAGCCAGACCCTCCCTCATTGAGCAGGTGCTGAACCAGAAGAGACTGGTGAGTGCATTAAAACACTTTATTGAGCTAGAGGATTTTTACTTGTACACCCCCTGGTAACCTAATGCAGTGGGTGCAGAGGTGTGTGGGTATTAGAGTAGATAATGCATCATTCATGTAGCCATGCAAAAAAATGGAAAATGAAATTTGAATGAAGTTTCTTTTTCTTAATATTAATAAATGTATATCATCCACATATTATACAGGGGGGGGGGGGGGGGGGATTCAGAATCAAAAAGGTTAATGTAAAATTATGTGCAATAAAAAAAATATATATATATTAGTCCTGTCAAATTGAATCTAACAAAAGTTTTTGTTTACGTAATATATATGTGTATGTATATATATATATATTATTATATTTATATATGTATATATATATATGTTTGTTTATATATATATATATATATATATATATGTGTGTGTGCTTTCAAATCGAATCTAACGAAGTTTTTGTTTACATACTGTGTATATATATTATTATATTTATATATATTATACGTCTGTGTGTGTATATACATATACGTATATACTGTGAAGTTTCATTTGATGTTTTCCTCCTAGCTTCCTTTTTTTTTTACTTTTAATTGATTGATTTGTATATCAATTATTCTGCATATATATGCATATTTTATATGTGACAAATGTCATTAATATTTATTTTAACTGAATATTCTTTCTTAGCAAAGTGACTTAGCATTAGCTGATGTTATGTTGTTTTGGGGTTTCAGTCTCTTCTGAGGAGTCCAGAAGTCATCAGCTTCCTTCAGCAACAGCAGCGTTTACTGACCACACAGAATCGGGCTCAAACACAGCACAACTTCTGAAGTCTGAAGATGCTTTACTCATCCTGTTGAGGATTTAATGCGGTCACAATGTCACCGAAATTTTCAATGGGGAATATTCTATGTGTGGGACCTGCAGCTGTCCTTGATGGTGTGAAGACTATCAACACTGCATTCTGAAAACTGGGATGTTTGACAAGGACCCGATCGATCTAAAATACTGCTGTCATCATCAAGCTCGTTGATATCATGAAACTAATTGGCAGCTAAATCTACTGTATATCAATAATGCGTTTGACTAGCCATCCTAGCCTCATTTGTATCATTTAGTATTTTTAAATTAATGATAGAAAATATGAATCGGCAGCTGTAGAAATTCATTTTTTAGAGATCTTAATCTAATCTGTAATGTTTGTTAATGTCATCATAATGTCGTCAGTGAAAGCTACAATTTAGTTTGACCTTTTTAGCCACATCTTGACAGTGTAGCTGAAAGACACAGCATACACACAGAATTGTTCAATCAGCTTTATTATTTTAAAGACGGGGTAAGCTCAATAAGCAAAGGAAGTTTGTATTGATCTTGTGAAAATTGATAACCTGTAGTTTTAAAGCTTTTGCATTAATACAAAGTAGTTGGATTTTTCGACTTCTGGTGTTTTGTTTTTAAATTTCATTTTTGTGTTATGGCCATAAAACAATCAGGCACAAATATAAGAGAGGTTTCTGTATTACAAAAACAAGAAAGCTAACGCGAGTGGAAAAAAACAAAACAACATGAAATGTTATAGAAGGCACAAATATGACACAAATAAAACTTTTCCAGAACAAGTACCTGTCTACTAACATACTTCTTTGGCTTCCTAATACAGCAATTCTATCTGAATTGATCTCAGCTACTACATACTGTGAAATAGCAAGTTTTTTTTTTTTTTTTTTAAACAATGCAACACTTATCTAACCACACAGCTGCTTATTTAACAGCATGATATTTCCTGGCTGATTCTATACCAGTACCATAAACATCCACTGAAAAGACAGAGAGAGAGCTTTATGTGTCTTGGGCTGCTATAAAAGTCTTTTGGGGAACTATATTCCCCTTGTCCTGTAATGCATTAGGACACAGAGGAAATAGGATTGTGCGGAGAGCCCATTTGGGTCAGAACTTTGTCCAGCCACTGCAGGGGCCCGTGCAGGTGGATTTCTATCCAGCAGGGGGTGCTGGTGACATCCTGACGGTGGTACTCGGCTCCCCAGCCCTGAGAAGAGGAGACATTTGAGCCTCAATACTTGAGCATCTTTACAAAACATCTTAAGCACGAAATATGTTTTTAAAAACTACAATAATACAAGTATTTGTGATCCACTAGCAGCACCAAAAGGAGTTGGGGAAAATAAATGCATACTAGTTTTCCAAAAACTAATTTGCAATTGCATTCATAAAGTATTTTAACAGAAATAATAACAAACAATTTGTTATGTGTCCGCATACATACAAATCAAGCAGGGAATATAGCGCATGTCGTATCAGTCGGTAACCGAAGAACTCCAGAGCTATGGGATTGCAGTGTTTTGGCAGAGCAACATCCAACAGAAAGCCAAAGATTAGAATATCTACATATTACATTTGCATAGCAACACTTAGAAGATTTTCTATTTGAAACTGCTAACCACCTAGAGAGCTGTTGGCTTGTGATTGACGTTTATGAACTCTCTGTATTTGCGATAGTCCTAAACAGCAACTTTGTAACCTTGTTGTTGGAGGTAATAAACTTGACAACAGTCTTATATAAAATACTGTATATTATTATATTTATATTTAGAATAAACTAAAATCAAGCAGATTTTTGCATTTTCTGAAGAAAAAGAGAATAGAGTTTAGGTTTGGGTATCGAGAACAGGTACTTATTTGGTTCTATTTAAAATTCTCGCACGTAGAACCGTTTGGTACTAAAATTCTTTCTAAAAACGTTACTAAAACACCTTTCTAAAATTCCCTGACAGAGTTTCATAGTTATACACTAGCCTACTTAATCGACATGGCACCACTATTGAAAGCGCAACCAGTGTAGACTGATTTCTGAACAAATAAATCTAATAAGATTTATAAGCTTTTTAGTGAATCAAAAAGCAAAAGCATACAGCACAACCAGTGTAGTCAGATTCCCGAAGGAAAGACTAATTATTCAATACTTTTTAGTGAATCAAAAGCAAAAGCATATAGCACAACCAGTGTAGTCAGATTCTCGAAGGAAAGACTCTTATGATTCAATACTTTTTAGTGAATCAAAAGCATACAGCGCAACCAGTGTAGACTCATTCCCAAATCGAATGACTTTTATGAGCCTGTTCTTTAAAGTGAATCAAACGCATCCGGCGCAACCAGTGTAGACTGATTCTCGGTTACCTCGTTTCCACCAAAAAAGAACTGGTTCGGAACTGGTGCTGGTTCAAAGTTGGTTCAACTTGCGAACCTTCTCAGAACCTGTTTGTTTTTCCACTGACTAGAGAGCCCAGCGAACGACGTCGTTACGTCACTGTGTACGTCGCCATACGTCTTAGCTTTCCCATTCCCGTCGTGTTGTTGTTCACAGTAACCCGCCCCCAGCCCCCAACGTAAGCATGACGTGGTAAAAGAATGGTTCTAGTCCAGCAAAGAGTTGGTGCCGCTTTGGAACCAATTTTCCTGGCCGAGAACCGTTTTTTTGGCTGTCGAAACACAAAGAACTGGTTCGCGAGTAGGCACCGGCTCCGAACCGGCTCTCAAAATGCTTTGGTGGAAAAGGGGCAGGTGTAAACAAAGGACTTTTATGAGCTGGTTCTTTTAAGTGAATCAAACGCATTCAGGACAACCAGTGTAGACTGGTTTCCAAAGGAAAGACTCTAATGAGTCGATTCTTTCTAGTGAATCAATAGTAATGGATTTACATAACCTTTATTAGCAGCCCAATAGGGTTTATATGGCTGTACATGCTACTGTATATGCCATTATATGCCACATATATATAAATCTTTTTACCTTGACAAAACTCATCCTGATGGTGCACATCTTGGTGAGTTCATACACCACCTCGAAGCCATGATTTACCGACTGCGACAGCAGCTGGGCAAACAGCTGGTTGTTGAAGATCTTGAGGCTGCATCCACTCGGGATCTTGCAGACGGTGGTGGGGTGGAAACCATGCTGGTAGTTACAGTTCCGACTCTGAACGAAAATACTGCTGTCACTCAGACACTCTGCGTACACCTCCCCTCCGACGTAATACAAGTGCACACCTACAACAGAAGAGAGAAAAGGCTTTAAAGCATGTTTCTAGTCGCACATTTAACTGAGACTAAATACACTTACAGGTCCACAAAAAGAATAAAAAATAACATACAGTATAACAACAATTCTAAAGTGGCTTTTATAACACAACTGTGAACTACTTCAAAGTCCACACAAAAACAGTATATCACCACCTTCGAACTTGGTAAATCCCAGAAATCATTATCCATAAACCCAGCATTCATCATGTTTTATCACGTGCCAAGCGGAAACTTTAATAATCTCCATTCTCCTGAAGCATCCTGATCTGGATTATGTCGTTGTCCTTGGCGCTCTTCCAACTAGGATCTCTCACACAAGTAGATGGAACTCTGTGCCTACTAGTGTGTGTGTGTGTGTGTGTGTGTCTGCATACTTCTCTCTCTCACTGCTGTAACCTATGGCAACGCTTAATGTCTTTTCAACACTGGCACAGTGACGTTCATCCAGCACCCTGAGAAAAACCAACATTTGGATAGTCTGGACTTTATCTTTCTCGCTGGGTTTCTAAAGTGTTGACTGACCAGCACTATCTGGCGCAATAAAAACAGTGTTTTTATTTTATTTTATTACTTTCTCTTGGAATTGCATCAACTGATGGAAGACCATTATCAGCTTGATCTTCTCAAAGCAACAATTTCAGATCCAAAAACCCTCAACAAAGACAGGAATGCAAAAAATGTAAAACTTTAAACAAACCTTTGCCTATGTGTCTGCGAGTGTGTTCAATGGTAGAATTCCGGTTGACGTTGGATAGTAATCCGAGACAGAATCGGTTCTTGTTGTTGGAGGGATCTGTGAAGCCGTCCACGAGGATGCTTCGGGAAGAGGCGTGGAATGTCTCACCCACCCTGTTGTTCAGTTCGTAATATGCCACTGAACACCAGTATTCTGGTTCCTCATAACACACTGGCCTCAAGTCTGAAGAAAAAAAAGGCATTCATAAAACCATGTAATATTATACCTCATAGGTCTCATTCCATATTTATGATGCATTTTAATATAAAATGCATTGTGATTCAACACTTTCATTGTTTGGAAACACCAGACTAGATTAATGTTTCACCTGATTTTAAAAATCTTAGATCCATTAATGAACTCTCTGTATAAGAACGTTGCCTAATACCATTTAAAGCAGGACATTCCAAAAATGCTTTATAGTGAAGGAAGACTTACAACAACAACAAAAATCACATAAAGGTAAATCTTCCACTTTCAAAAAAGTCTTGTGTGACCAATTTGACATCTATATAGTCTGATAATTTCTATTTTCAAAATAAAAACAATGGTTAGGTCGTTCATTTATAACTGCATTAGCTTGGGGTTTAAGGCTTCTGTATTCTGATTGGCTGTCAATGTTTTTATGGTTCATTAGCTGGAAAAAAACATTGTTCTGAAAATGCTTCCAATGATATCGTTTCTCTGTTTCGGTGTCATTATTGCTGTGATGTGGACTTCCACTCTCATAGAATTATAATAATTATTCAAACTTCTTTAAAATTAAAAAAGTAATATTATTAAATGAGCAGTGTTATTTTAGTATTATGTATATACTATTATAGTTTTTATTATTTAGAATTTTGTCATTTTCTTTTTATCTATTTAGCTTTTTTATTTCAATTTTAATCATTTATCATTTTTAATGACTTTATTTCAATCAATATTTCCCATTTATGTTTACATTTTTTATCTAATATTTATATTTTATTTTAGCATTATTTCACTTAACAAAATGTATTTTTATTAGTTTCAGTTAATAATAACAACAAATGAGTAGGTGTGTTCACAACATTTAACTGGTACTGCACATTTCAAAGTACATACATAATGCACAGCAAGTCTAGTGTCACCTCTATGAGGGGCTGACAGAATGAGTTTATTGGGGTTGGAGGACTCTTCTGGTTTCACATCCTCAGACGGAGGGGTCTCCATCATACTGTAGGGTGGAGGAGGTGTCTCTGCTGTGCAATGAGAACAATGTTTTTGAATGACAAAGATGTATGAATGTATGCAATTCAATCGCATTACATTTCATGCAAGGAAGTTATAAGAGAGCTAATATACAAAATCATCAATGCTTGAGAAATCCTTGCTAATAATGACCTGTGATTTGGTAGGGGCTCCCAGGGTCGGTTCCACTGCTGGGAGAGTTTGGGTAGCTGTGTGCAGTGGGGGACTGGTTTAAAGAGCTGGAAGGAGATGAAGAAAACGAGCTACAGGGCATTGCAGGGAAGGAGTCTGGGTAAGTGGCATTTTGAGGCATTAGAGGCTCGTTGTGTAGGGAAGCATTCCGGAACTTTGCTAACAAGCTGTGCTGGGGGTTGAACTCACTGTGACGTGGCACAAGGACTGGGGGTAGAACTGTTTGGAAAAAAAAGAGAAAGAAGATTACTAACAGATTTTTCACTAATGCATAAAGCTATAATCAATATGGAAGAAAACAAGAAAAAGTGGTTTGCGTATTGATTTCCACCTGGCGTCTCCACACGGCGGTAATGATATGGATTGATGCAGATATCCTTCTGCTTGGAGCCGAAAGGAAACTCGCAGCAATCCAGCGCTTTGAGCTCGTGGTGGGACTGAAGATCCGGCCAGCGCCACACCCTGCAGTAGATGACGTGTGGCAGACCTTTACGGTGGGACACCTGGAGCCTTCCGTCCAGGGATCGAGGGATGGTCACACATTTACTGGGCTGGCCAGGACAGCTCAGAGCCTTTTCCAGCTCCTCCATGGCCCCTTTCTTCTTCTTGAGCTTCTTCACAAGGGAATCGACAGCCTTTTCCGCCCACTTTTCCTCCTCGTCTCCTTGTTTCCAGCCCAGCAGCCTTTTCACAGCTGGACTGGTGAAGGAGAAGAGGGAAGTGATGGATGTGGTGGAGTGCATCGTGGGATGGGGCGACACTGGGGACCGGATTTTTTCCTAAAAGCAAGGCAGATCTGTCTTATATCACTTCAAGCCAGGAGCCTTAGTTTATTACTTTACAGCCAAGATACAGCTGGGTGTAAAATAAACCCACCAGACAGGGATGTTTTCGTCAGGCTGTCAACAGTTTTTATCTGGTGAAAGTAACAAAAAAGAATGTCAGATTTAATGTTAATAAGTAAATTGTAAATTGTTTGTGTCAGTATTTTTAACTGCCTTTAATTTGTATTTATTAAAATAAACATAAATAATTATAGGCTATATACTGTATAATAAAGATAATAAACAAAATTATTTATGTCAGTATTTTTCAAATAATTGTTAAATGTTTTTTAGTTATTTAATTTTTAAAGAATTTAAAATAATGATTTTTTAAGAATACAAAAATGATTTGTGTGTATGTATATATATATATATATATATATATATATATATATATATATGCACACAGAATTGTATGTATGTGGATGTGTGTGTGATTAAATTAATAGAAATCATTATTTTATTTTAAATTATTTTTAAAAATAAAATAAAATAAAAAATATTTAACAAATATTTTTTTTTAAAACTGACATAAAACACTTACAATTTATTTTTTATCTTTATTATTATTATTTTTTATTTAAGCATTTAGTAAAACATAGCCTACCTTTTGCATTACAGTAATAACAATTAATTAGGGAAGAAAATGTGCATTTATTGTTATGAAAAATAATGTCAAACAATGTCCAAATCAAATCAAATTTTAAGCTAAAGGGCACCATTTTCTGTAAGCAAAATATAACACTTCTTCCTTATGATTTTGGGGTGAAATATGATATGAACATATTCTTGACATGTTTTGTGAGATTCACCCTATTAGGGCGTAATCACAACACATTCATGTGCAGATCTCGAGATCTTTTACATCATGCTTCACAGTGCATGCAGAGATTTCTGAGTCAACAGGTCCTTCTGTCTCTCGCTGGACCTCACCTATTCGTCCTCTCCCTTTCCTGTCAAGGCTTTCTGATGCAGAAAATGATCTGCTAAAAATCAATCCCGTTGTTTGAGCATTTGAAACCAGAGAGGCTTGCTTCCATCTTTGGCCAAGTCTATTCAAATAATAGCTTCTGAAAATATTATTGCATGCAATACCAGAGGTGTTAACACACCCCTAACTAAATCAAATAATCGTATGAGATTAATGAGGCCATATAGGACTAATAGCAGCGTATGAAATCATGGCTCAGTTTCAAATAGGCACAGGCAGGCAGATCAATTGAGGGTGAATACATCTGCTCTGTTCTCAAAGGCAGTGTGTCCTTATGAAACTGGCGTCTGGCAGTCTGAGTGCTGAGATAGGCTTAATCACCTAACTCCCCCGCAAACGCACATACACATCCTTTCCCTCAACTTCACTTTGTTTGTTTGCTTTAAGAAACGTTTAAATGCTACATTTGGCACTTATTTTTTTTTTTTTAAAGTATTCCAGGTATACACAACTGTCACAAACGTATCACGGGAGCAGCATCATTAAGCAGCAAGTGGCATAATGTCTGTTTACACAGCCTCGCGTGATATGGACTAACATGTGAGAAGCAACAAGTTAACGTGAAAAATAAAAAATACAGCGTCAAGACAAAATAAAGTTAAAAAAGAAAAAAGACACGTGCCTTAATTTTTCATCATTTATAAAACTTTTACTTTTTAGCTAAGTCCTGAAATAAATTCTAGATAATATCAGAAGTGGTATATATATAACACGTTTCATCCATTACCTTGTTCTTGTGACAAGTCGAATAACAATCCGCGTAGTTCCGCAAAATAGCCGAATGCTGAATCTCGCGCCGATTGGAGGTGTAGCTCAGCGCGTGTGTTTGGATGGAGCGAGAGCCGCGGCGTCAGTCTGACTGGAGCCTCAGCGCCTTCGTGCGGAATTCATCCGCTGCTCCTGGAACTCTCCCAGGACGTCAGACACACAGAGGGATCATCCCGTTCAAAAGAACAGCCTGAGACTCACTCACAGGCCAATTATTGAGGGAAAACAGCTTATTGTGGGCAGCAGCGTTTCACTTTTAATTTGCTTTCAGTGACAGATGACAAGCGCAGACAGCTGTTTTTTTCTTTTACAGGAAGTGAATGCACCTTTTTTGGCATAGCCTACTTTGTAAAGGGAAAGTGATTGTGTCAAAGTATTTCTTTTTTTTATTGATGTTTTCATGACTTTAATTTTTAATCATTCCCAGTGTGCGATTATTCAGTGACTTTTAAGCGGTCTAACATTACGTTTCAAAGGAATTTGTGAGGAATTCGCGCGCTTTAAAATTCAAAAACGCTTCAAACAAAAATTACTATTATAACGTTTTTGTATCAAAATTGGTGATAAATGGTGTCAGTATTACGTTTTGTCGATGTGCCGTCGGATATCGATCCCAATAGAGATTGGGATGCTCGAGCAGCCAAATGTTGCTATGGTTACAGGGAACGCAACGTCTGATCACGAGCGCCTTCTCACTAAAATTCTAATATTTTAATGGCGACAGAAACGTTTGTCGGTGTAACGTTAAAATACGTACATTTAAGACACCGTCCAACCTTTTTACATTTAAGGGGTGTTTAGAATTGTTTTAGGTCAACCCAACTCACAACCTAGTCATTACAACGGTACACTGTGATTAAAACTAACCGTTTTCGAATTAAATCATTTTAGGTGAAACGAAAAAAACAGTTGTTAATAAAAATAAAAAAAGCTCTATTCTCTCTAAACATTTACCTGTTATATATTTAGAAATTGGAAGCAGAATATTGATAAAGTTAAAGTAGAAAGTAGTAGAATATTTAGTGACAGACTGGCGGATCGCCAGCGCTTATCGATAGCCCTACTTCTCGTGCGCTCCTCGGCGCGGATGGATACACGTCGATTGTGTGCGTAGAGTGACTTGTCCAGTTAATGACGCAAGCCAGGATGGCGACAGAGAGTCTAGAAGTTTGACATTTTCAGTTTACAACAACTGCAGGGGAACGTAACAATACTCCCGATAATGACAGCTCGCATATTTAGTGCTCTCTTTGATCAAATGAGTTTGGCAGGGGGAATTCGCTTCCAATAAAAGGACACCGCAAAATGATCCTCTTCAATCAAGGTGCACAGGATCATAACGTGTACATAATATAAATTACTGACGAGCCTCTATATTTAGGGCTTAGCAGAAGGGAGAAATACAATACATATATAGCTGCGTAAATAACTGATTTGAAAAATAATTTATCAGTGAAAATATTGAAATACACCATCTTTTAGAGTGGCTGACAAGATAGAGTGGCTGACTAAGAACAAATGCCTTCCTGGTGGAGAGAAAGGGAGGATAAACAGGATATTCTCTCCAGGGTGCAGAGCCAACCCATTGTGTAAACCACATTAAAAAGGACTGAGTACACGCCAGACCATGGACCAGGGCTGTCGCTAGAGGGGCGAAAGGAGGTGAAGATTCTAGGCCCCCGGGCTTTTAGGGGGCCCCGCAATGTCAAATGAGGGGGGCCCCACAGGAACAACCCACACCTGGGCCCCGGATACCCTAGCTGTGGCCCTGCCATGGACCATTTCAGTCGGTCAACTGTGTTTTTAAACTTTATATGTGTGGATGAGTGTGTTAAAAATGGATTTGGTTGGCACTGATTTTAAGCACACAGCACACCACATATATATATATAAAAAAAAAAAAACTACAAATCAAGCCCAGAAATTATACTTTGATGTTCTGCATAAATCAATGTGTTTTTCAAATAAGCTTGTTTAATAATAAAAAAATGTTTTAAAGTGTTGTAAAAACTGCATCATTTTGTCTTCATCTGGTTCTGTGCAACATTTTCAAATTATTTGTAAATGCAGAAACGCTAACTGATTATAATTTTTCTTTATTTGGCCAAGAACCATCTGCCCCATTTCTAAACCAATAGTATGTAAAAGAAAAACATGAAAAACAGCGATATTACATTAAAAAAATAAAAATACAAGGACAATCCCCTTATGTGGTCACGGCACGGTCAGTGATAATGAAATGCTAATGCTGTTCACTGATTGCGTACGCAGTGCACTCATTTGTGGCAAAGGACTGCGTTTAACCATCGGCCCCTGTTAGCTCACGAGCAGCACACTGGCAGTAACAACAGCTACTGAGTTTTTCTCTCAGACTCCAGCCTCCAGGCACCAGTTAAGTAACGCAGTTTGATAAAGACTAGATCCCGGCCCATCTGTAGCCAACTCCAGATCGGCACCAACTTTGACCCTAAATGAGCAATAAAACAAGTCTTCATTAGCTCATAGTGGAAATAACCTTCATTTTTGAGACACATACTGCTAGAAAAAAGACAGAGTATTAATTATTTTAATTGCCTATGCTTTAAGTGTATTATATTTCAAAACTGACAGCACAAACCTTCAATCTCTGTCCAGTTAACAGCCACTTCTGATACAGGGATGTCCAAACACTGAGCAATGTAGAGAAGTTCCACATCAAATGCCCTGTAGGACACATTTTTTAATTTTAATTAAGAGGTTAAAATTTAAATTTAAATAAAAAAATAATAATAAAAGGTTCTTATAAAAGTAAACAAAGTACTTTTTGGAATTTGATGCTATATTTGCAAAAGTTGCAGATGCCTTAAAGCACCCCTATTATGATATTTTAAAGGTTCCTAATTTAGTTTTGGAGTCTACAATTATGCATCCGAGGCCAAAAAAACAACACAATTTTCTCATAATATACACTGCAGCATGACCTCTTTTTTATCACAGTGTCTGAACGGTTTGATAATAGATTCTGTCTTTTAACCCCTCCTTTCCGAGAGCCTACTCTGCTCTGATTGGTCAGATGACTCAGTCTGTTATGATTGGCCTACCGCTTACAAGCACGGTTGGAAACGAAACAGCCCAGAGGCCTCCGGGCTTCCTCAACACTTGATACATAGGTGATACGAACAGTAAAGTTGGTGTCGAGCCCAAGTCCTCATTCTTTTGAAGTGCATGCAAAAAGAATTTGCAGCGCATCGACATGTCGACAACACAAATCAAACACTTCCAGGCCTCAGTTACAGCTACAGTGTTTGAGGGAGGGTCAAAGTAGTAGACAACTGCAGGCAGACAATAAAGACAAAAGGCTGGCATTATGCAAATTTGTTACAAACCTACATAGGTTCGAGCAGGAAGTAAGACCGGAATTACTGAGGACTCGTTTGGGCAGTTCCCAATCTGTTCTTTCTTTTGGGAGACAATAACTCCAATTTTCGTGCACTTCGATCTTTGAAACTTTGCAGACGTTTTACATTCACAAACAGCTATATATTACACTACATCAAAGGTAATATATATATATATTTTTTTTAATCATAATTGGGGAATTTTATTATAAAGCTCTTCAACTTTTAAGCGTCCTTACCAGCGTTCCACATGCAGGCTGGAGAAAGTTTTCAAGGCAGCCTCACGAGTGAAGAGCTTAAATCCACATTGTGTGTCTTTAATCCCCCTCACACAAAAGAACCACACCAAGAAGTGGAATCCATACATCAGAAACGTTCGGAACATTGACCGCTGCAACAAGAAGAAACAGAAGACTGAAAATGCAAACGTACTGGCAATTTCCTCATGAACATTAGCTATTATGCTTCAATATATTTGAGAAACGCTGAATACCTGAGCCACTGATTCTTCTTCCATGTGAGCTCTGGATCCACAGGAGATCGCCATGTTATCCTGCATTGACATAAGAGGAAAACATTTTTAGATGCTCTGAGATCTTTTGGCAAGGAAAGGTCTGCAAGTAATTTGATAACTCCAGCTCCTGGTTAAGCTTCAAACAAATATGTAATCCACATACCAACTATTCTGAGATTATTTGCTGCATGTCTATTTATATTTACAAAAAGTGGTGTCTCACAGGCTTCTCACTGATGCTCTCAAGAGCTTCTTCCACCTTTTCAATGTCAGCAAATTTAGTGGCTCCGTCAGCATCAGCCATAAGAATGAGCTTCCCGCGACAGCTTAGTGCTCCCTGAGCAGAGACAAATACAACAACATTATAGCAACTGTTGAACTTAGTGTGTGCAAAATAAGACTTTTAGCTGAGCTTGACAATGCACAAGGAGGACTGGGTGCTTTTTGCATTATTACCATTTTAACTGCACCGCCTTTTCCACGGTTCTTCATCAACGTCAGAACTCTCACTTTTTGTGCTCCATACTTTTTTGTGTATTTCATGGCAACCTGAGGATACATATGATCAAGCATTCAGTTTGATCGTTATATATTATTCATTTGATATATTATAATTAATAATAACAATAAGACGTAAAACTACCTCTGTAGTTTTGTCTTTGCTGCCATCATCTACTAAAATAACTTCATATGTGAATAATGGATTCTCATTCTGTAAAATCAACAAGAGGACAAATTGGGTTAAACAGTCACTTTAGTTACAGCAATGCCATCTAGTGGTGAAACATTCAAAGATGCTGGAAAAACAACCAGTCTGCAGTAACATCCATAAGGATTAAAAAAAACGTGTGGCATCATTCCTGGATTCATAGGTGAACTCAGATATGTTTACACTTTTATTTATAAATGTATGCCTTTTTTTTAAAGGTGTATTTAAAGTACACATGTTATAATACAATCATTATCACAAACATTTTAGTCAGAAAAACAGAACTAATAAGCCTGTTGTTTCATAATAGAAATGTAAAAAATAATTAATAAAGCACCTGTCTTTTCTCCAGGTATTCCATGGCTTCATCCATCATAGCAGGCACTGTGTGATAAAACAAGAGACAAACATTACCAATATAAATCCTCTTATTGCCAAGAGGAGGTTAATGATTTTGAGCCATAGGGATTCAGTGAGGTTTTTAACTCAAACTATATATATCATCACCATAACTCACATCTGAGTTCCTCATTATAGGAAGGGACAACCACAGACAGCTCCAATGAGGGAGGGTCCATCAGACTGGGAAAAGGCTCTTTTTTGCCCTTTGCAGTCAAATAGTGCTTCTCCTTCTCATGGCGAGTCTGATCTACCACCTGAGCACTGACATGAGCAATCACAACAACCTAAAGACAAGAACAAACAGGTGTGACACAAAGGAGTAACTAGTTCAACTGGATGAATCGGTGTAGCTCAACAGAAGTGTGACAGAAGTATTTCAAAAGAACAATTTCATTGCAAATTCATTTTCATTAACAAATAATAAGAACAACAGCATGGATAGGTCACTAAGAGCATACATACATCAGTAACAAACCAACAAATCCACAATAATATTAAAATTATAAAAACTTTCAAAATAATATAAAAATGATAAGATATAAATTTACCAAAAGTAAGACGATCAGAGCCAGGACCATCGAAAACTGCAATAATTCACATACACAGAAATCCATCATCCATTTCCCAGTCAACATATCACTGCAGGGAAGCTCACCAGTTCACAGCTAAACTACCCTACAGTTTCATACAGAGCAGCCTTAAATTGAGACTCCGTGAGGCGGGACATATATGAATGGGTGTCGTACTAATTTACGGAATAAATAGTTCAATCTCTGTTGTTGAACTTTACTTCCAGTCACTGAGAAACACCTACGCGGAAGTCGTCCTGGACAAACCACATCATCACAGCGGGCGAAGAAAGAGCAGAGCGGGAGGTTGAAAACAGCACTAGCGCCCCCCACTGGAGCGGAGGACGGGAGATTCAACTCTTTACGTCACTGCAGGTTTCACGTGGTGCTTCTAAACATCATGGCGGCTGGTTTCAAGTAAGTCAATTACAATACAGCGTGAATTACATATGTAGATTTTATCTGAATAACTAATAATTATTTAATATACTTGAGGTTTTCAGGACAGTGAGATTGTGATTTCGCTGTATTTAACGTAAATATTGAGTGTGTGTTTTGTTTTTTTAGAACCGCAGAGCCTCTTGAATATCACAGGAGCTTTTTGGTGAGTTAATCAACGTTTTGATTTCTGTCAGCTATGAAGTTGATTCAGTGTTATAACTTATAACACAGCAGGTAATAATGTTGATCTAATAATCAATTATCTTAATCTAATATTCAACAGAAAGAAAACTGTCGTCCAGATGGAAGAGAATTGGGAGAGTTTAGACCCACAACCTTAAATATTAGTAAGTATTAGATGCATATTGTAGAATAACACATTAAAATGATCAGAATAATTTTCAATGCTTTAGAAGTACAGTGGTGTCATTAAATATAATATTGGATAAACGTGTCTTTCTAGGCTCCATATCTACAGCCGATGGATCAGCAATGGTGAAAATTGGAAACACCACAGTAATCTGTGGGATAAAAGCTGTAAGAATCATTTTTATTTTCCTAAAAGCTATGATATGGTTGTGGATAATGAAGTTACAGCATTTTGTTCTCGCAGGAATTAACTACGCCACCCTCTGATGCTCCAAATAAAGGATATATTGGTAAATTATAACTGGGTAACTGACAAATGTTATACATTGGGGTGTTGAATGAAATTTTGAATGAAGTTCCTCTTTGGTCTCCAAGTCCCAAATGTAGACCTGCCTCCACTGTGCTCGTCTAGATTCAGACCCGGACCACCAGGAGAACAGGCTCAGGCAGCCAGCCAATTTATCGCAGATGTCATTGAGAGGTACAACTCAAGAATACCATTTCTTTGTGGGTAAAAGCAACTTGATTGGTTGTCAAAAAAGAGGAAAAATGTTTTTCTTATAAATCTTAGCTGCAAGCCTGCAAATAATGTTGGTCAAGCCAAAACATTATGATTGTTATTATTACTTAATTCTTGTTTATTCTCTTCTGCTCTGCAGTTCAGACTTAATAAATATGGAGGAATTGTGCATTGAAAAAGCTAAGGTAAGATATAATATGTATATATAAAATGTATGTATGTGTGTGTTTATAATAGAATCTTTAATAAATATACTCTAAAAATATCATTTATCACTTATTTTCTAGCTTTGTTGGGTGCTGTACTGTGATATTATGTGTTTGGATTACGATGGGAACTTACTTGACGCCTGCATCATAGTTTTGCTGGCAGCTTTAAAGAACGGTGAGCACTCCATCTGAATATATTATCCTCCTGCTGTTATGATGACTAATAAACACACTTCCAATTTCTCAGCCCAACTTCCTGAAGTCACTGTAAACAAAGAGACAGATTTAGCAGAAGTTGACATCCAGAAGAAGAGACACTTGAAGATCAGCAGGCACCCAGTTGGCTCATCGTTTGCAGTATTTGATGAGTAATTAACATATTTCTCTATTACACAATACGCTATTTAGTTTAGCCAAATTAACTTAATAATAATTAAAAACGAGAACACTGGTCTCAGATCAATATAAAATTCTTTAGAAATGACAAGAATGAGTTCACGGACACTTTTTCCTTTCGCAGTTCCATCATCATCGTCGACCCCACAGCGGAAGAGGAAAGCTTGTCTACAGCATTAATGACTGTGGTAACAGATGAGGAGGATCGACTCTGTGCCGTCCACAAACCAGGTGAACATCAAGACATTTGACACAAAACTGCAGGTTATTTACAGCATCCAGGGATGCAATATCATCAGGGTGAAAAAGGCAACATTATAGAAGCTTGTTTCCACCATGGAATAAAAAAAAGGTAATTGTGACTCTCACAAATCTGACTTTTTCCTGCAATTGTGAGTTTCTCTCACAAATCCAGGCTTTTATTCTTAGAATTGTGAGTTCATCTCTCACAATTCATACTTTATAACTTGCAATTGTGAGTATCTATCTAAACTCGAAATTGCGAGAAAAAAGTCAGAATTGTGAGAATCTTGGAATTGCTAAAAATAAAGTCAGAACTGTGAGAAAAAAGTTAGAATTGTGAGAATCTCAGAATTGTTCAAAATAAAATTGTGAGATATATAAACATGGAATTTCAAGAAAAAAAGTTAGAATATGAGAATTTTGGGTTGCTAGATCAGAATTAATTGAGAATCTTGGGTTGCTACTAGAAATAAAGTCAGAATTGCAAGACAAATTTGAAATTGTGTGAATATCGGATTTGCTAAAAATAAAATCAGGATTGCGAGATATAAAACAAGGAATTGTAAGAAAAAAGTTCGAATTTTGAGATAAATCAGTCAGTCAGAAATCAGTCAGAAATGTGAGCAGTCAGAATTGCGAGATATAAACTTAGAATTACAAGATTCCATATGACAAGCTTCCATATGACAAAGAGAGAGCATAGCTCCCCCTTGACTATATTTAGTTAAATTATAAAAAGTCGCTTTGGATAAAAGCGTCTGCCAAATGCGTTAATATAAATGAAATGCTATTGTACTGTAAAATAATGAGTAATTCATAATAATAGAATTTTATTTAATTAATGTCTTAATTTCTTTGCTTTCAAACACTAAACCATAGAGCTTTTATTTTGGCGGAAAAATTGCTGAGACCTCAAAGCTTCTCTTTAGTTGACTTATAAACGATTCTCATATCAATTTAAAACAAAAATCATCAAATCTACACAGATCACATAAATGACCTATTTTGGATCCAAAGTGTCACTTTGTCAAAGGTGTCAAGATTGTAGATGAGCATCGTCAGATTGAATTTTTGTGGTCTGTAGATTTGGTTGAATATTATTTGTAGATTTAAAAACTAAATATAAATGTTTTGCTTTAGGTGGGACGTCGTTATCCGGTGAGAAACTACAACACTGCATCAATCGAGCCATAACGAGAAACAAAGAGATCAGCAAACTAGTGGACAAAGTCATTGGGAGCATGAAGACGACGAAATAAACACACACACAGTCGTGACATTTTTATCTAAAAGTTGTATTTTTCACTGTCAATATATACTTTCTTTTTTATCACAATAAAACTGCCGACAAAGATCATTTACAAAAATTCTGCCTCAGTGTTCAGAAATGTCATCCACTCACATGGTTTAGATTTTTTTCTCAATAAGAATATACATCAACTCCCCCCTCAGTATAACAAAATGCCATTTTAAAATGTGCCATATAAAAACCGCACATGTAATTGCATGCTGGGACAAGGCAGCCCATCAATCTGACATCCAGCAGTAGAGAGAAGGTTTTCTCATAATGGTAAAGTTGAGGCACATCTGTACGGCCCTTATTAGTGTGCGTAGGGTCCACCCTCTCGAGCCGAACAGGCTCTCGTTGAAAGGGCCATTTGGAAGGAGAATAAAGACAGCATGCCGTAGGGAACCCAACAAGAAGAATTGTCTCATTTCATGTCTTGTATTTCTTTAAAAAATATGGTAATACTCTAAGGTCCCCTGCTCTAAATGTCCTCGATGTAATACGAATAGTCCTCTGGCCTGAGGTCAGGTGGGTAACTCCTGCACCCCTATGTACGTTAAATTTTTTTTAACTTTAGTCCGGTTGAGCCACAGTCAGTCCATAAAATGCTGCGGATCAAGCACAGTGCCGTTTGTTGACGTCCTCACGGTGGGCCGGAGGTCATGATTTGGGGAGGGGCTGTGGCGTGCTGCGTTTCCTTTTACTTCTTGGCTGGTTGACGGAATGTTGCCGTGGCAGCGCCGACTGTGCCGCCCCCACTGCCATACCCATTTGCTGCTGTTGCATTTGGTGCTGCAAGAATTGCAACTGTGCGAAAGGGAAAGTAACGGATAATGAATTTGTGCAGTTAAAAACGTACCAAGAGTCCCCTCTCACAGCAGCTGTGTCTCAGAAGCATTTCCTACATGTAGCCAAGGAGTTCAACGTTATGACGATCATCAAACACACCCTCTAAATAGTACAATTTAAATAACTTAATGTGGAATTTTTTTAAATCAAATATTAAATAATTATTTAATTGTTTTAAAGAGATATACACTCCTGTTTAAATGTTTGTTTGTTTTCTTGAAAGGAATTAATACTTTGATTCAGCAAGCACACATTAAATTGACCAAAAAGTGAGAGTAAAGAAATTTAAAATGTTACCAAAAAAATATATATATTGCAAATAAATGCTATTCATTTGAACTTCATATTCAAATAATCCTGAAAAAAATGTCTCAGTTTCCATAAAAAAATTAAGCAGCATGACTGTTTTGAATATTGATTAAAAAAAAATGTATTGAGCACCAAATCATCATATTAGAATGATCTCTGAAGGATCATGTGACACTGAAGACTGGAGAAAATATGCTGAAAATTCAGCTTCGCCATCACAGGAATAAATTACATTTTAAAATGAGAAAAAAAATTCACAATACTACTGTTCTTACTGTATTTTTATCAAATAAATGTATTTGTGAGAATAAGAGATCAAAACATTTACAAAAATCTCACCTTAAACTTTTAAACAGCAGTGTATATTGTGCTTGCATATGAATTTTCTTTTAAAAAGATGAGTTAATGCCTTTACTATTATTGCAAAATTTGGGATGCAACAATATTAAAAATCTAATCGATAAGCTAATAATTATTTTCAAGTTCTGTAGTGATAACAGACAAATGGCGAAAGACAGATTAATTCTATTAGGTCTAAAATAAAAAAATAAAACACTATCAACTTAAATCATATTAAATGCTACAAGTAAATTTAGGCATCACATCATTATAAGTGTA